GTGTTTGCAACTTGCAATGTTTTTTTTGTTTTTTGTTTTTTTGCCAGTTTCTCACATTTAGTTTTGGTTTCTAGTACAAAAAAAAGGCTCATTAGGGAAAATGGATTTGCTCAATAACTGCAGCATTTGCTTAATGACCTTTGTAAAAAAATGGTCATAACTTTGCATCTGATCACATGATGCCTTGATTTACAAAGCTAACAATGATTTATGACTAATTCGGGGCTCAATTATAGTTGCAAGTTGAAGATTACCCGTACTTATTTATAGGCTGGTCTACTCATAATGACTCTGGGTACTGTACAATACTATGCGACACAATAAAACCAAAAAGAACCAATACCCTGGGGGTTAATACACCCAACCCATTAATATACCAAACTCATTAATAAAAAAATCCCATAGAAGGGACAAACTGTCAGGGCCTGGATTCTTCTTCTGATGAGGAGTAGTAAGAAGATGGAAATTAGAGGGCTAGAGCATCTCCCCAGGGAAGCAAGTATGATAAGTGTGATTTAGGTAGAATAGGTGGAGACATGATAAACTTATAAATAATTGTGCATACTATAGTATGAGAAATGTTAATGGGCATTTTTCTTCTCTTAGCAATATTAGAATCATCCAATAATAGTAAATGTAGGGAGATTCTAGAACCTATAAATAAATACTTCTTCACGGAACCTGTAATTAAACTCTGGAGTTTATTGCTGTCAGATGTGAGTAACTTCCACCAGAGTTTTAAGAATGGGCTGGGGTGATTTCATGAAGGATTGAAATATGAACTGTGCTAGTCTACTCTTGATGGATGTTGGTACCTCTGAGATCACAGGCAATGTACCTTAAGTACCAACTACTTGGGAACCCCAACAAAAGATGGCTATTGATTCTTTGTCCCTGATTATAACCATCCTGAATTCATCTAGTTGGCCATTACGTGACACAAAGGTCTAGACTAAATGAACTTCTGGCTGTGATCCAGCAGAATTCTTATTCATTCATTCATTCATTTATTTTTATCTATTTTATTCTTTCAATTTATATAGCTTCCCATCTCACATGCATGACTCTGGACAGTTACCAACAATTAAAAAACAAGAAGCAAAATAAAAACTATGCCAATAGAGACAGCAAAGTACAAAAAGCACCAGAGACATTTAGCAGAGTACATAGGCTCTAACACTCATCTGGATCTCCAAGCCTGGTGACAAAATCATGTCTAAGGTTTTCTGAAAAGCCACTAGGATTGGGGCAGAGGTGAAATCCAGCAGGTTCTGGAGAACCGGTAGCGGAAATTTTGAGCAGTTCGGAGAACCGGCAAATACCGCCTCTGCCTGGCCCCAGAGTGGGGTGGGAATGGAAATTTTGCAGTATCCTTCCCCTGGAGTGGGGTGGGAATGGGGATTTTGCAGAATCCTTCCCCTGGAGTGGGTGGGAATGGAGATTTTGCAATATCCTTCCCCTGCCATGCCCACCAAGCCATGCCCACAGAACCTGTAGGGGAAAAATTCGGATTTCACCCCTGGATTGGGGTCAATTTAAGCTCTGGGAGAGATGATGTTTCAAAGGCAGACACTACAATAAAAAAGGCTTTGTTACTTGGCCCTGTCGGATTATGCTGTCTAGTAGACAGGAGCTAGAGCAGGGGTCAAACTCAAAGCCCGCAGGCCAGATCCTGCCCGTGGGGTGCTTACATCTGGCTTGCGGAGCCGCCCTGGAAACAGCGATGGAGCGACCCATGATGCCTCTGCCAACAAAAATGGAGCTCAGGAGGGCTGCATGTGGCCCTTCCAAGCTCCGTTTTTGGCCACAACAGTCTTCTGCAGCTCTCTGCCAGTGAAAACGGAGCCTGGGGTGCCCATTTTCACTGGCAGAGGGCTGCAGGAAGCCATCACGGCAAAAATGGAGCCTGGGCAGGCCACACGCAGCCTCCCCAAACTCCATTTTTGCTGGCAGAGGGCTGCAGGAGGCCATCGTGGCTGAAAATGGAGCGACTCAATCGAGTGATGTCAAGCAGGCCATGCCCACACCTGGCCAAGCCCCCACCCCAGTCCCCTGAGGTCAAACACAACCCTGATGCGACTGTGCCAGAGCTGTTGGGACAGGTAGACATAATTGGGAAGAGGTGGTCTCAGTCCCAGGCCATGGGACTCCATAGGTCATTACCCTCTTCTTGCATTGAACTAGCAGCATGCTGGTAACCATACTGGTTGATGGAGGCTGAACGGTCAAGAACAGTTAGAACGGATGAATTACCCCCCATCCTGTTCCTGCCAGAAGTCATCTAAAAGTGTGACCAATGCTACTTTGATACCATAACCTGACTGAAAAGTATCAGAAGTATTTTCCATAGCACCCTTCAGAGAAATTGGGCAAATGGTGCCTGTTTCCAGAATGGTGCTTCCTTCTGGAATGATGCAAGTTAGCCACTTTAAAAAGGCCATGTGTCACATGAACTAGATGCTCTTTCAGAATGGACATTTCCAAAAGAGTGTCCAGCTGATATGACCTGCGACCTTCCTACAATGGCTGCCTCCCACCGTTCTGGAAGTCGGCACCATTCCCTCAATCCTTCAGAAAGTTTTCCCCCAAATCTCACATTTTGGAAAAAAACATGCCCTTCTGAGAGATTGCAAGAATTGCAGCCATGTTCAGAATGGTGCAAGGTGGCCTCTGCAAGAAGGCTGCATGTCGCATCGGTTGGGAACTCTTTCAGAAAGGCAATATTTGGAAAAGGTAAGTGGAACAAGGCATGCTGGGGCGCAGAGGAGGCTCTGAGGAGGCATGAATCCTCTGGCACCCAGCTGTGAAGGATGGAGGGGAGAGATGGGCAGGTGGGGCAGTTGTAGCCTATCTGTAGTTAGTTGTAAGGGCAGGATTGCTAAGTGCCCAAATTTTCATCACGTGATCATGGGGCCACTGCAGAAGTACAGCACCATTGTAATTTCGAATGGTTATAAATTGAGGACTATCTACTTCTTTGCTGATACGTAGGTCTTTAACCTGGCCATCTGCCTGGGCCTTGAGTAGTTTAAAAATATTTATTTAGAACTTTAAGTATCAGGGATGACTTTCTAAAACATCTTTTGGTTAAGGTAAATGCATAAATAGACCTATAGAAGAAGCTAACAAAGAAAATTTGTAGCGGAAGAACAGGTGGTGAATTCCAAACTCGGCATTTCTTTCTGCATACTGATGAATCAGAACTTAACCACCTTAACAGAATTCCTTATTATCTTCTAGCCCAAGAATTTTTGTTGTTATTATTTATGCTGTCTTCTGCTCAAGGATTAGTAATTATCATAAATAATTTCTTTTCTGCATATATCACTGCTGCCATCATTTCATTCCTATAATGAATAAATGGAAATAATACTATTGCATTAGTGGTTGGTGGTGGTGCCCATTATTTTTTATGTTTATGATATCCTCTTTATTTCAAGTTAGAGGAAAAGACAGATTGCTCTTGCCAGAAATATGAAGTGATGATGTTTGGAAACTGGACCAGGAGCTACATGAAAGTAGAATTATCAGTTTTATACCAGCTTCTTTTGGTGACTGGTTACAAGGTTTTAACTAAGCAAAAGTACTTGTGGGTTGATTGTTGAGCCAGTGAGAACTTTATGTTACAATTTTTGAGGATTTTTCTTCTTGTTCAGATTTGAAAATCTGAAATCACCAATAATGTAGCGGCAAGCTTCAAAATAGTTATTTGTTGGGATACATTTCAATTTTGACTGTCCTATTAAAAAGAACTAAAAATACCTATTACTTTAGCTTTCCCTTTTTAAAAATTTGTTGCATTGTATGGTTGCTTATTTGTTGCCTGATAACCATACCTACAGCCCAGACCAATAATTAGCCCTTTACTAAACTGAATACTTTGTACTTCACAATCCTAAAAATTAAGATAATTTGGTCAATAAAATGTTCAAGTTTACTTCAAATTTCAGGTTTCAACTTTTTTCATAATGGATCATTTATAACTTAAGAAAAATAAATTCAGCTTTCTCTCATTATAAATGTAGGTAGGTATAGTGTGCATACAATGTAACTAAAATTAATTGAGCTGCATATTATTAAATATTGCTAGTATTACATATTGCTAGGTTGTGGTATGACTTATTAATTCTATGTCTCCCACTTGTAAGTTGATACACAGTTCATAAGAAATGCAGAATATGAACTTCTCCTAATACAAAACAATATATACATGTTTAAGATTTAAATGACTTATTTTTAAAAAGTATTTAGGACTGCCAATAGCTATTAGCTTCATTTCCTAAATGGATCCATAGCCAGACTGCTTAATTAAGTTCAAACGTTTGGACAAAAACCAAGGATCAACCATTACTGCCCCTTTTTATTTTTGAGGCCTTGTTGGAAATAAAGTTATGGACTAATGGAACTTGGTATCATTGAGCATAGCAGAATTTAGTTTATAATGAATTCTAGAGTATGAAGTAAGTACCTCAGAGACATAAGCAAAACATTGAAAGTGAAAATAATTAGTCTTTGAGGTATGATATTACTAATACTGAATTACTTAATTGTGCGAAGTCATGTTTCAAATAACCATGGCTTGCTGAATAAACCATAGTTGGCTAGAATACTACAATATCTTAAGCCATAAAGTTTAATTTACAAATCATAATGGTTGAGTTCATATGACATGTTAAGCCACAGACAAATGTTTCTTTGTTTGTGGTTTGTGTCCCACCTTTATTTTTTTTTATTATTTTTTTTTACAAATAACTCAAGGTGAAGCATTATCCAACACACCTTCCTCCTCTTATGTTCCCAACAACAAGAACCTTGTGAAGGGAGTTGGGCTCAGAGAAAGTGATTTGCCCAAAGTCACCCAGCTTCAGTCCTTCTGGCAGGGTTCAAATGAATGTGTTTCAAATATCCAAAAGATTTGGTTGCATTGCTCTGCAAGCATTATAATCTTTTTTTCCCCTCCTCTTTTTCTCTCTCTTGTTTATTTATTTACTTTTTTTAAGAGTTCTTGGCTGTGGAACACAAAGCAGTGCTGGATTGGTTACCCATATCAGGTAAAACAACAACAAAAACCAGTGATGAATGAATGAATGAATGAATGAATGAATGAATGAATGAATGTAAAATATTGAAAATGTATAGCCATCCTTTGAAATGACTGTAGCTGCCATCTTCAAATACAACCTTACACTTCGTTCATTTAGTCTAGATCAGTGTTTTTCAAACTTGACAACTTTAAGATGTGTAGACTTCATTTCCCAGAATTCCACACATCTTAAAAGTTGCTAAGTTTGAAAAACACCGGTCTGGGTGGTAGAAGGGAGGAAGAGCTGGGGCTTGGGGAAGGGAATCTTTGATTTGACCACTGCTCGCTGTTGTAATCGCCTGTTTCTCAATAGCTAGTTGACAAGGTCAGATATCATTTTAAAGAAGAAGCTTTGGAATTGACAAAGCAGATGGGGAAGCTAAAAATTCTTCAACCCCTTGGGGGGGAAGGGGATCAAGGACTCTTCCAACGTTCTTAAAAAAAAATAAAGTGACCTTGAAGAACTGACAGATATTTTCAGTGAGGAAAACCTATGGGATATTAATGAAGGTTTATCGCAATGAGAGTGTCTTCTATTTATGTAAATGTGTTCTACTTCTACTTATTTTGAATCAAAGCTGAATTTACAAAAGAATGCCAGGGACTTTTTTCCCATGCCTATTCAGAGAGAGTGGAAAACCAATTTGAGCTGACATCAGAGGAGGAGGAGGAGGACATAAGAGCTGCAGCTCCAATAAAGTAGCGATTCTGAATCGCCTTCAGCGACATGTTAAATTGGATCCCATCAAAACGTTTAAAAGTTTAACAAGTTTTAAAACTGAATGACATCCTAGAGTAGGGGTTCTCAAATTTAGCAAATTTAAGATGTATGGATTTCAACTCCCAGAATGTGAGAGTGGGATGGCTGGGGAATTCTGGGAGTTGAAGTCTACCTGTCTTAAATTTGCCAAGTTTGGAAACCCCTGCCCTAAGGTAACAAGCTAGTCACCAACTTCAAGAAGTGGTTGTCCTTTGTCTTCCAGGTACAGTTCAAGGTGCCCATTGTTACCTTTAAAGGCATTTGGGCCTGGGTGGAATGGGTTTTTATGTTTTGAATATGTCTCCCAGTTTATATCATGATTTAAATGATCGATTCATCCATCAAATCATTTATAGAGCCAGCCATATTATGTGTCATGACCCAGGCATGATACAAAACAATAAAAATATGCCACAAAGCCATGAAAACATAACAAAAACACTCCCAAAGGTGACAATCCCCCTACATCAGCATTCAACTCTACTCGACTCCGTCCTCACTCACAGCCACACATTGATAATGCCGTCTGCAACCATGATCCTGGATGACCTCCCATAGCAGCCTCATGTAGATGTTAAAGAGGAAGAGTGAGAGACCTAAGTTTGAGACAACCCGTATTTCAGGGATCTACTTGACCCTACTTGATCTACTTGATCCCCCCCCCCTCTTGCAACATCAACTGGAACCAGCCATGCAGGAAGGAGAACCACTGCAAAACAGTGCTTCCCTCTCCCAACCTCCAAAGCAGTCCAGAACAATACCATGATCAGTGTTATTGAACACTGCTGAGAGATCCAGGAGGGCTAGTAAAGTTGGAGGAAAGTTGTCCCATCACACCAAATTTGAGCTCTCTTCATTTGCTTTTGGGGAGTTAATCTGCTGATGGATAGACACAATTTTGAACCCTTCACATAATTTCTTTCCAATATTTCATTGGATTGGGGAAAAAAATAAAAGGTATTGTTCAAAATATTGTTTTAATCCACCAAATCTCCAAAATTGTTATGCAGAAATCTATTTTAGATAAGGATTTTATTTGTTCCCAAAGTTATTGAATTTACCTTGGTAGAGTTTTTAACAACTTTTTTTTAATTATTATTATTTTTATTCTCCAGCCACTGATGCCTGAGATTCATTACTACTATATACTTGAACTGGCATTCTATTGGTCTGTAATGTTTTCTCAGTTCATTGACATCAAAAGAAAGGTAAGAACAATCATTTTTGTAAGAACAATGCTATTTGATAGAACTGTGTAACATCATTTTGACTGACACATATGCATTGAAATAACACCAAGGATTGTGCATTTGAACCACTAAGTACAGCATTGCCCTTTGAAGCATTAATCCAGCCATGTCTTTTGCAAGACTTATGCAACTTTTTTTATTATTATTATTCATCACATTTCTACACAGCTTATCTCACCTGAGTGACTCTGGGTGATTTACAATAAAAACATAAAAGTTAAACGTTGTTCCCAACTCTTTCAATCTCTGTGTATATGCGTAGTTGCTTCATTTTGTGGATAATCCCAATGAAAATATTGTCTGCATGCACATATAAAAAGAAGTAATTCATCTGTGCCAACATGCTTTCCAAAGCACTTTGATGAATGCTTTGCATTGCCCTATTAGCATCTTAATTCTAATTGTCCAGGGCAATATAAATTTGGTGTCAAAACTGCAGCTGTAAATGTTTGTTATATTTTCAGAAAACAATATACAGTCAGGTTGCATAATCTGCTAACATTATTGGATTAGGCTGAGGTAGTTTGAATATCTTTTGGGAGCTGATAGCAATATTGATCACTGGTTCATTAGTACGATACTAACCATTTTATTCAGATTCTATTAAAGTATTCTAGGAAATATTTATTTTTTAGGTGTCATTAAATATTCAAATGTACGGATTTCAGCACCCAAAATTCCATCGTCAGTACAACCGTTGCTGAGAACTTTGGAAATTGAAATTAACCCATCTAGAGCAGTGGTCCCCAACCTTGGCGCCTTGGCAGCATGGTTGGGAGTCAGAGGGGAACCAGGATGTGCGAGCGGCGGGCTGGTGTGGATGCATGTGCAGTTCGACTTGCGACAGTCTGGCATGCACACACATGCAGCTCGACTGCAAGTTGAGTTGCGCATGCATGTGCCAGCCTCCCGTTTGCGTGAGTCGAGCTGCCCGTGTGCTCTGGCCTGAAGCTCATGAGGCCCGGTTGCAAATAGGCCATGGGTCGCTGGTGGGCTGTGGCCCGGGGGTTGGGGACTCCTGATCTAGAAGACCTCTAAGAGTGGAGATCAGTGGTGGGTTACAAAATTTTTTACTACCGGTTCTGTGGATGTGGCTTGGTGGGCGTGGCATGGCATGGTGTGGCATGGTGGGTGTGGCTTGGTGGGCTTGGCAGGGGAAGGATACTGTAAAATCTCCATTCCCACCCCACTCCAGGGGAAGGATACTGTAAGATCTCCATTCCCACCCCACTCCAGGGGAAGGATACTGTAAAATCTCCATTCCCTTCCCAATCCAGGGGAAGGTTACTGCAAAATCCCCATTTTCTCCCGATCAGCTGGGACTTGGGAGGCAGAGAATAGAGGGGGGTGGGGCCAGTCAGAATTTTTACTACCGGTTCTCCGAACTACTCAAAATTTCCGCTACCCGTTTTCCAAAACTGGTCAGAACCTGCTGAAACCCACATCTGGTGGAGATGTACTAAGAAATAATCTATAGTAGCATAATCCGATATGATATTCTTCCAATACTGAACTTGAACATGCTGGTAGAAATCATCATAGTTGACTTTTAGGCACCAGGTTGAGGAAGGTTATGTGAAAACATATTGGTTGCTTAGCAGTTGGATTTACCGTATTTGTTTGTTAAATTCATATGCTGCCCATCTCGCCTTGGGACTACTCTGGGTGGTTTTCATTTCCAGGGCACAAAAAAACATCCTTGTATAATTGGTAGCCTAATAATGTTTTTGTTATTACTGTTGCTTTTTATCAGAAAGCAGAACTGTTTCTAGAGGGGGAAAAAATCTTACACATGTCCCAGCATGTCTGATCTTGGAAGCAGAATTTAAAATAATCCCAGTGGGAATAAAAATGAGTATTCACTTTAAGCTGCCTAGAATTGCCTGCTTCAGGGCGCACAGTGATTCCTGTGAATAGTATTGGAAAGAAAAGATACGGTGCAGAGCCTAATGTTGCTGCAAAGCCTTCTCAGGCTGGTCACAGCCTTTTGGGAGGGCTATTTCATGGAATAATGTATGATTTTGAAACAGTAAGAAATTGCACTATAATGGACATGCTTTGGGTGCAGTACAAGCTGCTGGTCATCATCCTTTAAAGCTCTGTATGACACACAGGGCCAGATGTCCCTGGGGACATCTACCTATCCTACCAAGTCAGTAGGGTGGGCACACTCTGGTTCCCTTCCCCTAAATATTATCATCTGATGGGAGCTAGGACGAGTGCCTTTTATTTATTTCTTTATTCATTCCATTTCTATAGCCGCCCAACTCAACCAAGTGACTGTTTTCCATGGCAGCCCCTGCTCTGTGGAATACCTTGGCCCCCTGACTTTTGGCAGGTCACCAGCCTTTTAGCCTTCCATAAGGCTTTAAAACCTGGCTTTTTCCCCCCAAAAGAAGATTAGACACACTTTAGAAATGATTGGCACCAGGTTTTTGGATGTGTGTGTGTGTGTGTGTGTGTGTGTGTTTAAAAATTGCAGATTCATACCTGTACTAAATATATATCTGTAATTGCCAGCATTTATTTATTTATTTTATTTTATTTTATTTATTTATTTTATCTATCTGTCTGTCTGTCTGTCTGTCTGTCTGTTTGTTTGTTTATATTAATTAATTAATTAATTAATTAATTAAGGTGTCACTTTACTCCAGGTGACTTTGCAGTTCACATCTAATAACCCTATATCTGGCCACTTCCTAAATTTATTCTGTGAAGGTGCCAAGGAGAAGAAAACATGGTGAAATGGGAAGGTGGTATTTTGATGGAGGGGGCTGGTGCACTTTAGTGCCATGATACCTCAAGAAGCCTCGGTCAGTGGCATTTCAAGGAGAGCAGCTTATTCTGATTGGTTAATTACATTCTCATTAACTTGATTACCATGATCCTTAAACCCTGAGTAGGTAACGAAGATGACTCCAAGGTCAGTGAACCCAGAACCTCCTGCTTTTCTCCTCACATTCAAAAGCAGAGGATAAGATATTACAAATCTTCCCTACAGACAACTATGGAAGAAACATGCCATAACAATTTTCATCCTTTGGTAGTTGCTTATTCTATCCCAGGGATGGGCAACTATTGGCTTAAGGGCTGGGGAGAAAGATAGATGTAAGTCTATTTTCAATCTGTCTCCCCATGGGTTAGAACAAGAGCGAGCAACTATGACCCCCTTTATGACCTGTGGACTTCAACACCCAGAATTCTGAATTGACCAATATATGGTGGGTCAGGAATTCTGGGAGTTGAAGTCCACAGGTCATAAAGGACCCGCCCTTGTTCTAACCCATGGGGAGACAGATTGAAAATAGACTTACATCTATCTTTCTCCCCCACCCTTAAGCCAATAGTATCCAGCAGTATCTGGAAGGAGTATAAAATTAATCATGTTTCACCACCTATTTAAGTCAAAGGCAAAATAAGGTGGCCATTGGGGTACAGGATCTGTGGTATTGGCCAATTCAGGCTGATTCAGGAAGATCCCCTTCCTTCACATTCCTAATCAGCCTTGGTTACTATCATTCTGTTGCATTGTCAAAACCGCACAGTAGTGTAAACTACTCAGCTTGTCCTATGACTACAGCAATTCACATTAATTCTGCAGTCTCAATTTTGTGCAAAGATTGAAACGCTGTGAGTGGGAAAGGGAAAGAGCATAAAGTCAAAATTGCAATGGTGTCCCAGTGAAATGGTGAAATAGTATAAATCTGAAACGATAGGATCCGTTCCATCCCAGTGTCCCACACAAAGCATGGAGGAATCTGGAAGGCTATATAAAGAAAGCAAAAGAGGGGGAGATAAATCCTAAATAAATATCACGCTTATGACTCAGGTTTTTCATGACTCCAATCTGTTGCGTTTTTTTAGAGTGTTCAGCTTTGTTTATGAAAGTATTGTGAGTAAGTGGAGGGGAACTAAAGGTGATTAACAGAGTTCTGCAGACAGACTGACTTCCTTCCTACTGCAGCATGATTGGCAGATTTTTTTTTTCTGCCAGTATATGTCATACAGAAGAGGAATCAACCAGATGCATTACTTACCATGATAGTGCATACATAAAATCAGAACACCACAGATCCAAAGTGAATCAGAATAGAAACAGGAGGGGAACCTATCTTAAGCAGATCTGATCCTGTTTTATTTCTCCAGGTCAAGTTAGCAGCGAAAGTGCTCCCACCTAACTGGGCCTACTGACTTTCAGTTTGACAAATGGTTTTCCTGGCTTCTGACTTCTTGCTATTCACCCTGACTTCACTTTGTACAACAGGCGAATATCTGGTGCATGCCCTTCAACTTTAAAGAATATAAATTGGTCCTTGTGGCTTGAGTACAACCTGAGGACTTCTTTTGTAAAGATTTTTCCATGAATTTCATATGCCAGGAAAAGCTTCAAGGCTGTTTCATCGCAAGAGTGGGAGGAGAACTGTTCAATTCCTCCATACCAAAACTGTGGAAGTTTGAAGTGTCAGCCATACGCTGCTTGGCTTTGACTTATAAGAGGTCCAGGTTTCTTGTAGGCTGTCTTTGCCAACATGATGGGAGGGAGAATCTTTTTTTTTTTTTGTCGAAGTCAATTTATTGTCATGTGGGCAAAGGGTCTAAAATAGATAAAGGAAGAAACGCAAAGGAAGAACATGGAAGGTTTTTTCACCCCTCCATCTGTTAGAAAACCATAGCAGCCTGCCAAGCAGAAATACAGACTGAACAATCTTCATAGCAACTGTGTCTTTTAAAAACCAAAACCAAACTTGTCTTTTGGAATTAATATTGGTGACTTCATTCACATCGCAGCTTTGTATATTAGCTGAGGAGAGAGGCATAGCAAGTCACATCAAAAACTGGATAGTCCTAGGTTATGAATGGTTCACCATATTGCATTGAAAAGACAGATGTGCTCACCCTGCTGTTTAGCAAACTCTTGACAGAAAAGTGTCTTCCAATTGAGTTGATTCCTGATTTTCAAAAGCGTCTTTTTGTTATTGATGTGTTTAGTTCTGTTTGGTTGAGGTTTTATGAACAGGATCTGCAAATCAGTTGCATATGATCAGATCGGCATTCTGCAAAAATAACCTGATAGAACAGATGCCATTTTTTTTCATAGCTCATAATGAGCCATGAGGGATGAATTATCCTTATTGGTTATCATCATGTGCAGCTTGTGTATGCTTAAGAGGCATGTGTGGGCAGTTTAATTAGCGTGTTCCTATGTATCGCTATGCTACATTTATGGTGTACAAAAATAATTAAGGGTAGAGAATGTTTATGATTGTCCTAGAATATCTTACCTGAATATCAGTCAAATTTACCAGTGTAACTGTTATGACTAGGTCAGGTCTGTTTTACCAGATATTATTTGTAGAGACTTACCTCAAAGTCATTATTTAAAGGATTTTAGGAAACGGCTACCTTAATAAGATATTGTACTAAAATATTAAGTTGGGGGAAGAAATTTAGATTCATCTATATAGCAATTAAGTATTTCCTGCAAAAGCAGATGAAATACTGACATTTACTTCCAGTCATAACCTAGCCAAGAGCAATTTATGGTAGATTTGTTCCTTTGTGCAGGTATTTATGAAGAGTAGCTAATGCCAGTTTTGAAACTATAGTAGCTTCTAATTACCCTGTACCATAGAGATATGCATGTGTATAATTTTCTTTTCCAGATTTCTGAAAATAACTATCAAAATATCCTAAAAAACTGTCTGCCTCTTGGGACCTGATTAAAACCAGCAATAGTTAAAGTAACTCAATCATCTTTAGAGAGAAACAGTCTGGGGAGTAGCTAATCCTGCTACTGTGGAATTGTAGAAAAGTAAACTATTATCGCAACAATAATGCCATAAAAAGAATATGTGACTCTTTCTTCCAATATCCCATGCATCTGATAGAGGATAAAGTGTATTTTTATATTAAACACACCAGGGGGCAGTCTTGGAATGTCCCCACGTGCTTATTTATTTTATTTTGTTAGATTTATATTCAGATTCCTCCATTGAGCTAAGGGTGCACTTGAACTTGAGTCTTTCCAATACCTGTCCAACCCACACTGTCTTTCCCAGAACATTAAGATCACATTCATATTCCTAGGTATTAATTTAAAAAAAAAATCCAAGCTGTCTGGTCCTCCACCATTCTATCTGTGCCATCTCCCAGAGGAAAGAGCATGAAGCCATCTCCCAGAGCAAGGAGCCAAAAATGTTGACCTTCTTTGTAGATTTTAGAGTTTGGGGAATTTAAAGGGAAAAAGGAATGCTTTAATCCTTGAGCCAACTCCTTAAAAGATGCCCACACATCCTGCTGCAGCCTTTGAGATTGTGCGAATTGCTCAATCTTTTTTTTTTTTTTAATTTGATTTATATGCCGCCCTTCTCCGAAGACTCAGGGCAGCTTACAATGCGTTAAGCAATAGCCTTCATACTTTTGTATATTTATACAAAGTCAGTTTATTGCCCCCACAAACTGGGTCCTCAATTTACCTACCTTAGAAAGGATGGAAGGCTGAGTCAACCTTGAGCCTGGTGAGATTTGAACTTGCAGTAATTGCAGGCAGCTGATGTTAATAACAGTGCTTTAGTCTGCTGCGCTACCAGAGCTCCTTCTGCACTAAGATAAGAGTCAAGAGAGAAAAGAGCAGATCCTTTTAGTTTGCTTTTGAACAGAGGGAAATACTTGGGGTGGACGCCCATCTGACTGAAGTCCATGATCCTTGAAGAAACTGAAAAGCATTTATGAGCATGCATAGATATTTTGGCTCTAGCAGTAAGAGATAGTCTTTCTTCTGCTGCCAAGTTCCTATATACATATATAAAACACACACAATTTGTGTCTTCCCTCCACCCACCAATCTCCCCCCCCCCATCTCTGCCCTTTTGGTCATCCTGCACTCTGTGGTCTACCCCTGCTAGCCCAAGCTGACCTTTGCACTTCTTTTCCTTCCACTGCTGATGTGGTACATCCAGCTAAGGTAGCTGCTGTCCTTCGTGAGGCCCTCATGTAGCCTCCCCAAATTTTCATCAAAGGCAGCAAGTGCCTCAGCTGAGCATGACTTCATCAGTTGGCATCAGCCACAAAGATCAGCTGGAGGCAATGTGGGGTGGCAGCGAATGGAGGTAACTGTAAGGACTGTTAAACGAAGACTTATACTGTGAGAATTGGTTGACACAAAGAAAAATTAGACTTCCTTACTCCAAAAATATCAAGGTAGAAAATAAAGACACATGGAAAACTAAAACCGATTTATGTAATGCAGTGGTGGGTTGCCCCCGGTTCAGACCGGTTCTATAGAACCGGTGGTAAAACCGGCAGGAGGCTCCGCCCACTGACCCGGACGTCATCAGAATCTGCACATGCTCAGAAGAGCATGCACATGCATGAGCATGATGCGAACCGGTAGTAAAGATAAGTAGAACCCACCCCTGATATAATGGTGCTTTATTTTCTCTCTCTTTATCTTCCAGGATTTTAGCATCATGTTTACACATCATATTGTGGCAGTCTTATTACTAATTATCTCTTACGTAGTCAACTTCACACGAGTTGGAACCCTGGCTTTGTGTCTTCATGATGTTGTTGATGTCGTGCTGGAGGTAAGAGAGAGTTATTTGTAATAATTCTCTGCTGTCCAAAATGGTCTCTACCTGGAACAAATATTGTACCCTGTGAAAGTTCATAATGTATTGACATTTGTTTTAAAGGACTGTTTCTGTAAGACCATAAATAGCTTTGTATTTGTCTTTGGAAGTGAGACTCATGAACACAATGAGATTGACTTTCTGCACCGTGTTCAGAATCCTTTTTTGTTGTTGTTTATTTTTATCAGTCTGAATAATTTGTGTCATTATCACAATTCATTTAAAACACACTGCTAGATAGTTATATGAGCAAGTTTTAACACGGGCAAGCAACCACACAAGCAAAATGTGACCAAATTTAAAACTACACAACTAAGCATAGCAGCACCGAAAAGAAATAAAACATTCCTGATGTTTTTGCTGTTATGTTTCTGACTAATTTTACCCTGTTGGTTCTTATTCTCCCAGGCATTTAGGAGAGGATATGAATCCAAGCCTAGTGTCATTCTTAGCAGCTAAACCAGACAGGAAACAACCAGATAAACTAATTCTATTTTATTGTAAAGCTACATTTACAGAACCTTGCAAATCTGAAGTTACAGTTCCCCCACTGTCAACTATACAGCCCAATAACTCTGGGAGACTCTTTCCTGAGCCTTTTGCTCCACCAACTATGCAACTGCAAGCTATGCTGTCACTTGTTTGACTGTTCCCTAGGCAGTATCTTTTTATTCGTTCTCCCAAGGTCATTCCCTCATACTATTATACCTACTCAGAAGATTTGCTCCTGCAATCTTTGATATTCTCAGAACCTGCAGCCAACATTTTACTGGTCAGGAGGAAGTTCCAGCTACCTCTCTCAGTCCAAACTCCTCCTAGTCCCAGCTTCCTCTCATCAGAAGAAAATAGGGGCTTTATGGTGTACTAAAATACTTGTCATCATCTGCCTTCAGTCCCCTAAATCTACTACAATGCTTTTGTGAAAACTTTTATGTAAGCCCAAGTATACAGTATTTGAAATATAATCCAAAGAAGGAATTGAGTATAGAGAGATCAAATAACAAGGATGTGATTGAATTAGTACAGAAGAAAAACAAACAGATGACTTTTGAACGGCTGTGGACCGGTGGTGAAATTTTCCGTGGTTCACTATGCATACATGCGCAGTGCATGCCAAATGCACACTGCATGCACACCAAACACACTTCCCGCAGAAAAAGGAGGCTTAAGAAGGTAAGTAGAACAGCGGGGGGGGGAACAGCTGTGCCGCCCGATTTAGATTCGCTAGATTTCCTGCTTTACCTACCAAATATAAATCGCGCGGCATAGCTGATCATCGGAAATACCGGTTCGGACAAACTGGTAGCATTTTTTTACTACCGGTCTGCCCGAACTGGTAACTTTTATTACTACTGGTTCGCCTGAACCGGTGAGAATCGGTAGCATTTCAGCCCTGCTGTGGACCCATTTGGGAAAGGGGGCGAGTCTTGAAGATTCCAATTCCCTCTGAAAGTGCCAGGAAAGTCACTGGGCAAATCCATCTTCCTTTAAGCAGTTTTGTTTTCTTAAGTACACCTGAGTTTTAACTTTCACTTTTTAAATTTATTGTTTTACTCTGTTTTTTTGTTCTTAAAAGTTGATCAGCGGTTGAATGCTGATTTATTTCAACCTCAGTTACCTTTTTTTCTTTTTCTTTCCTTTTGATTCATGGGGGAGGGGGTTGTTTTTGTTTTTTATGTTTTGGAATTTTTCTTTTAACCTTGGATTGAAATATCCAGAAAATATCTATCCTGTTTCCTTCTGCTTCATCGTTGTTCGTTTCCTAATCAAGTTACACAGAGTTACAATATATCAGGTTATAGATAATTAATGGTGCCTGAAATCTAAGAAAAGCCTGTGGGGTAGCATGCAGCTTTTAGTTGAATGGTTTTTTTAAAACATTTGATAAGATGATAATGGCCATGGAAAATATGCAGACGCATGTAGTTTTGGATAAGTTAGATTTACAAAGGGCTTCTGATCTGAAAGTTGCAGACCAAAGAGATATCCCCACAGCCGGAGAACTAACTGGCTTGATCTCATGTGTCTCTTTGAAGTTCAAGCCTGCGTATTCTTACAGTACTAGGAGCCTGACTGAACAGGGAAGTGACATTCTTTTCTCCTACAAAAAGGAGGGAGATTGGAGAATGGATTTATTACACCTAACTGGAAACCACTTCTATTTGGACTTTGTTGGGACTTACTATGGAGACTGAATTTATTATATCTAATTAGATAGCAATTGATATGAGATGGCATTAAGAAACAAATGTGGATATTTGATTCAGGATGAATTACTTTTAACTTTTGGGATGATTTGGGATAGATAAGATGTCATGGAAAATTTTCTATGAGTGGATTACAATAACAGTTTGTTAACAGAGACTTTTGAAAACTTAACTTTGACATTTTTATTATTCTTTTTTCAATTAACTATTTTGTCATTAATATAATATGTAGAAGACAGGTCAATAATTTGCAAATTGATTTACTAGTCATTTTTTATTTTTTTTGGGGGTGCCTGTGTCACAAGAGGTGGGAACCAATATTGTAGTAATGTATTAATTGATATTCAATTGGGGGATAATGTGTGTATATGTCTTGGCTTTTTTTCTTTTAATGCACTTGTTTAATGTCTTGATTTTGGGGGGGATTAATGGTTTTTAAAAAATCTTTTTTGTCTTTTGGGGAATCTTATATGTTAACTTCTTTTGAATAAAAGAAAAAATGATGGAAAAAATGAAAAAGCAAACAGAAGTGTGAAAAAAGAATTCTAGTAATTTTTCTAGGGATTAGATCTTGTTGAACTCAGAATGTGTTGAATAAGCTTAAGTTTGGAGTGCTGGAAAAACAAAAAAAATATAATATTATAACAATATATTATTTATATTTATAATAATATTATAAATATTATAATTTATTATCATCAAGAAATAAAGATGGCATATAGCAGTAGAGACATTAAAAAATAAGATGAGAAGTGTTAATGGATAGCATCAACTTTTGCCCTCGCAATACTCTACAAAGTTTCAAAGCAAAAGTAGTAAGGGCAATAAAAAATTGAAATAGTGACAGCGCATGCTTGGATATTTTATATGGTACAATTACTTTAGAAAGAAAGTGACCTATTTCCTTTTCTTGTTACAGGCAGCCAAAATGGCAAACTACTGCAAGTTTCAAAAACTCTGCGATTTCCTCTTCCTTATGTTTGCTATTATTTTCATTATTACTAGGCTTGGAATATATCCTTTATGGTAAGTTGTATTTTTTTTCCATGGAATTGCATATGCTAAGACAACCTTCCTCAATCTGGAAACCTGTGGATTTGTTGGGCTGCAGTTCCCTAAGTTTCTATCAGGCATGGCCACAGATGGCTCCAGGTTTTATGGAAGACTGTTCAAGGACTGTATATGAAGAACCTGTTGGTGCTCTGTTGTTTTCAGAACTCTGTTGTTTTCAGAACTCTAGTTTTTTTTTTTAGTGTGATATTTTTCCCCTAATGAAAAATCAGTGAATCCGAGCAGGAAGAGAGCATTGCCAAAATTACAACCATCCAAATATTAGATGTCAAATTAACATCTACTTTTTTATTATACAGATTGATTGATTGATCGATTGATTGATTGATTGATTGATTGATTGATTGATTGATTTGGAAACTTATATTGCCACTTATTTACACATGGCGACTCAAGATGGCTTTCAAGAATATAAAACCTCATATAAAAACAATAAAAATAAATTAATAATAAATTAATAAAATAATATAATAAAAAAAAACCCTCACCCCCTGCCCTGGTGACAACCCATCACATGAGCCATTTAATGGGCTCCATCCTGCTCTGCATTCCCCAAGCCCGCTGGCAGAACCAGGTCTTCAGTGCCTTCCAGAAGAGTATTAGAGTGGGGGCCATTCTAACCTCTGGAGGAATGATGTTCCAGATTGCTTTATAGTGTTGTGACTATGGTAATAATAGCCTGGAAAAGATGTGGCTCTCAGCTAGGTGACCATTTAGGTGTAACTTGCTGGAGTTCAACGCTGTGTCCACTTCTCTTAGTGGCAGGTTACAGAAATTGGATGCGTTTTGCATTCTGTGACAACAGAAATTGTGGAAAGGCATGCCCCTGAAGCCTAACCTTAAAAGATCCTCTAAACCAGGTGTCTGCAACCTTAGCAACTTTAAGACTTGTGGACTTCAACTCCCAGAATTCCTCAGCCAGCGAACTGGCTGAGGAATTCTGGGAGTTGAAGTCCACAATTCTTAAAGTTGCCAAGGTTGCAGACACCTGCTCTAAACTTTCCTACAGCTTTGCCAAATCTAAAAGTAACTCCAGCGGCTTGATAAACTCTCATTTCTTTTTAAGAAAAGTTAAAACTCTGTGTGTTCTGTACTCTGGCACAATAGCATGCCTTTCCCACAACCCAAGATGTCCTTGAAGGCAATACAGGAAGACTCCCTACCCATGAGAGACAATGCCCCATGACTCTGGACACACAGAAACAACAGAGCATGTGCTTCTCCAGTGCCAGTGGTGGGTTGCCCCTGGTTCGGTCCGGTTCTATAGAACCGGTAGTAAAACCGGCGGGAGGCTCCATTCACCCGCCACAACATCATCGGTGATCTGTGCATGTGCAGAAGCACAGGCGAGCGAAGAGAGCGCGCAAGCGCGCTCCCATTCTCCCATTATGAATCAGTAGTAAAGGTAAGTAGAACCCACCCCTGTCCAGTGCCTATATTACAGAGACATTTGTCTCGCCATTGTTGCAATTCTACATTTTCCTTCAGCTTTCAAATACCAACCCTGCTACAAGATATAATGTTGCCAGGTTCTGTGCAGTGGTGCTTAAAATCTGTCAGATGATGCACCTGTGCCAAAAACTAGACTAAATGAGCATGTAGTTCATCATGCTAGAGTGCTCTGTAATTTGATAGATTTATCTGCCCCATACTAAAGTTTATGCTTCCCTGCTGCCATCTAATGCTCCTACTCCTCCTTTTAGATATTCACTGCTTATTTTATATATTTTAGCGTTATATAATGATTAATATTTTTGATGCTTTCTAATTGACTGTACCCACCCTCCTTATGCTGCTTTTGACCGTAATAAAAATTTGATTGACTGGGTGATGCCTGGATTTTTCATTATCTTCCCTAATCCATCTGTTGAAATTCAGTGGAAGCTCAGTAGCAGATTTCTATTTTTCCTTGCTGCTTTCCTCTCAGTGTAATTACATTTTGAAAATGGCAGAAGTCACTAGGACTGGATTACTCAGCAGGAAAAAAAAATTGCGGTAGAGGATGGGTCTTCAGCTACATTCAAAAGTTTGCGGCAGAATTGACCTAAGACATGCTCTTGAATAATATTCAGTGTATCGTCTCCTTCAACCCAACACCCTGCTATAGATTGGATTGCAATTTTTATGAAACCTTGCACTTCCTTTGCAGTTTGCTTGGATTTTGGAGGTCGTGGTGTGTATTTTGAGGCTAGAATTTCCTTTCTATAAAGTATTTGAGATCTGGAACAAGGTCTTTTATATTCAGCAGCTCACTTTAAAAAAAAAAAAAAAGTATATGTATACAAACAGAAAAACAGCATTCGGATTGCTAATTTTCTGTTCTGTTATGTTTGCTTTTAATCTCATCTTTTTCCTCCGGGAAATTAACATTTTGTAATTAGCTACACTCAGAACAATGTTTCTGTCAGCATTCCAGAAAAAAACCTGTTCTCCAAGTAAAGACACGGAAGCAAGCATTTTCCAAAGTCCTCTTTACTAGAATAGGCATACTGGCACATCTGGGAAATCCCGAATCTGAAAAGCCCGGGCTTTCCTTCAGTAATTCAAAGCTCTCAAAAACATCCCATTTCTCCCCAGTCGGTCATATGCTCCAATCAACATCCGTTCCACCTCAACTCAGCCCCTGACCTTGACCGATGGGAAGAATGCTATTATGTCTAATAATTCTCCTCTCCTAAATCCCCCCCTCTTACTTTCCCACATATGAGGAGATGGCAGCATTGAAGCTTCTGGCCTAATATGGCTTCCAAGGCTGACCGTTTCCTTAAATCTAGTAAATGGTCTGATCTCTAGATTTTTAATTACAATTCATATAAATCCCAACCAGTGGTAAAGATTTGTTAAGAATGTTGTTCAAAAACCATTTTAATTAATTGGGCAATTAACAAATTAAGATTTGGTGATTCCTGTACGTTTTGTCACACAAATGTTATCTTAAACAAGCAGCTACTTAAATTGGGAAAGATAAAATCTACTTTTGTAATATAAATATATTACCCATTCTTGTCTGAGTTATATGGACCACAAAAAAAGGTAGACGCTGTTAATTCTTTTGTGGGTTGCATTTAATTAAGTATCATAAAGTAATTAGATACGGTTTCAGGTATTTTTTTAATTAAGTATCCTAAGGGACAAAATTATGATAAAAATCAAAACTATGAAGTAAAACAACCTTCCATGTAGAGAGTGCAGCTAGATATTTTCTATCTTATTGTTTCATCTGTTTTTAGTATTAGCATTTATATTATTTATTATATTGTATTTTTATAGTTACATACTGTTCTGTGTTTCATATAGAATGAAGGGTAATTAAAAGTGTTTAGTCATTATATTTTAAAAATGGAAGGCAATGGAGAATTGCAAAAAAAATGCATTTGAAAGGAAGTCTTTTCCAGTAGGATTTTAAGTTTGTCAAAGATTTTAATACTTGTTGCTAAAATAGAAAATTAAATGTAAATTAAAGAAAGTACATACAGTATATGGTTCAAACTCATATAATTGCATTTTCTCTGACATTTCTGCTGAGAACTAAGAATTAAAACAATTTTTAACAGTGAATCTGTATTATTCTGTAGCTATAAGAAAGTCAGTTTTTTTTTCATATGAATGAAAGTACTCAGTTTCTCTTAGAAATATTAGTTACGTGAACCTAGAAATTTCTTCTATCACAGTGTCTGTAATCATGCATCATAGCAGGCCAGAAGGTAGATTCCTTGATCTGGGCTTAGCTATTGTATGAACTGCTGCTAATTGTGATCTGTTCAACGAACAGTAGTTAAGCAAAAAGTAGTTAAAAGGAGCCCTGGTAGCGCAGCAGACTAAAGCACTGTTATTAACATCAGCTGTCTGCAATTACTGCAAGTTCAAAATCTCACCAGGCTCAAGGTTGACTCAGCCTTCCATCCTTTCTAAGGTAGGTAAAATGAGGACCCAGATTGTGGGGGCAATAAACTGACTTTGTATAAATATACAAAAGTATGAAGGCTATTGCTTAATGCATTGTAAGCCTTCATACCTGAATCTTCAGAGAAGGGCGGCATATAAATTAAATAAAATAAAAATGACAAAGTACCACCTGTGAGCCAGGTCAATATGTTTGATTTTTTTCCATCATATTCTTTCCGCCATTCACAATTTCACCCAGTGGAATATCTATTTGAGTCATATTACTCCCATTCTCACATACAGTACCAGTTATGCCATTGTGCCTCATACATTATGGGCACTTATTGAGAAATTTGAAAGGTTTGCATAGACCATTGAAAACATAAGTCTTTTAAGACTGTGGATGATACATTTTGCTTTTAATTAAATTGATGGAAATTAGTGCGTTGAGGAAAAACAATGATCTCTAATTCATAACAATTAGCAATTGTGAACCTAGCAATTCCTCTTGCTACCTTTCAACTTCTGTCTGCATCACCTTTTCTCATTATGGTATACTTTAGGCCACTGCTTAATTCAACTATCTCTCTTTGAACTTCTGAGTCTTCAGTTTCCAGCCATGTTAACTAGAATTAAAGAAGTTGGAATCAAGAATCATGGAGAAGATACCATAATGGGAAAAATCTGAATGATTTTATCAGGCTTCATTTAACCATCCTTTTGAAATATTCCTTTCTCTTTCTCAGAGAATAGCAGCTCCTCAGTTTAAGTCCAGAACATTCAAGATCATTCTGTAAAATTATCTCTCCTTGCTTTCAAGTTTCATTCCAATTCATGAATGAAATTCATTTATCCTCTTCCTTGTCTCTGGACTCTACTGATGTGTCTCCCATTTGTATCTCCTACCTTTAGAATCTTCAGTCACATCCTGTATAAAGTTTAATCTCCACTTTTCCATGCAACCCCAGATTTTGTTTCCTCACAAACATTGAATTACAAATATAAGCAAATTAACGCTTCAAATTTCTTGGTGTTACAGAATTTTCCCCTAAAATAAAAATTCATAATATGGACTACTGAAGCTAACTTGCTGAAGAGGCCATCTGGTGGTTATATTTGGTTCATTACCACATTTCCTTGGAGGGGGAAAAAAAAAAGTTAATACAAAATGAATAATCCTGCAAGTCCAATGAAATAAATATGACTTAGCGTTTCATGCCACATTTATTTTTTGTTTGATGTATTTCTTAAAAAGAAATATAAAACTCAACCATACCTTTAAAAATATCCACCCTCAAGATAACACATGCCCTTCTACATGCAAACAAAATCCTGGAAAAGTAAAGATTAAAAGAGCAGTCTAACTGAAGAATTGTTGCAAAATAAAACAAGTCTCTAAAGCAAAAAAAAGGACAGGAAATTTAGCAAGAAATTACTTGGATCACTTGTAGGCAATTGTTTGTGCTTGCCCCCACTAGAACCAACAGAGTGGGCATGCTCTGTGTCCCTTCTATTACCCTGTTTCCCTGAAAATAAGACATCTCCTGATAATAAGCCCAATTGGGCTTTTAAGTGCATGCGCTAAAATACCCCCTGAAAATAAGCCCTCCCCGAAAATATTTAAACGCACGTGCAACCGGTCTCCGCCATTTCCTCTGGTTAGGGTTAGGGAAACAAAGCTGGAAATCAGGTAAAACGGCAAGAGGACCCCCATCCTACTCCAAAATAATAAGACCTCCCTGAAAATAAGGCCAAGCACTTATTTCGGGGTTCAAAAAAAATATAAGACAGGGTCTTATTTTTGAGGAAACACGGCAAATATCATTTCTCTGTCATAACACCTATCCTGTGGAACACCATCCTTCCAGGACGATAATTTTGACTCTTTTGACCATTCATAGAAGACATTAGAGACTCATTGTTCCTTCTGGCACTTAGGCTAGAGTGCTAAATGAGCCATACTTTTGATTTAGTTGGTAGTTGTTTTTTTCCACAAAGGAAGGCAAATATACATGTCCCTGGATAATGTTGCAAAATCTGATCTGGGTCAATCACTGGGACCAGAGGTTTACTCGTCTGAGCTTTTGGACTCATGCTACAGCCTGTATTGTTTCTTTTTTTTAAAAATAATTGATTGTGAATGTGGTATGGTGTTAAACTTCAGACATATATATTTAGTTTTTGATAGTTTATTTTAACAAATTATCTTATCGTTACACATTATGTTTTGCTTTTTAATCTTCTGTTTCTTGCTTAAAGATATTGTTGTGAAATAGATGTGGTATAAATATAGATTGTCAACCAGCATTTTAATAGAAGTCAATCAAGCAGCTCACATGGAAGTAGTCGTAGGCTAGCAAACTCAACAGAAATGGGTATGATTCTATAGAGGGTTCTCGAAATAGGTGGAGCAAAAGCAGGATATAAATGTAAGAAACTTCTTTTTAAAAAAGGAGGGAAAGGGGAATGGGGATTAAACAAATAGGAATTCACTAGTCCTCTGTGAATCAAATGTGTAAATTCTGCATGAATAGAAAAGTAATCTTTGACGGTTTCCTCTCCCAAGTTCATAAAAGCTGTGTGAAATCTCCCTTGCTATCTGCTTGACTGCTACAGTAAATATCTCTGTGATAAAGTGATTGGTAAATGATCTATTTCTCACGAGTGTGCATCTCCCTCCCCATTTCTTTCAGGGTACTGAACACTGTATTCTTCGAACTGCCTGAAATTGTTGGTGGTTTTCCTGGTTTATCAATCTTTGTCATTTTACTTTTGATACTTCAAATTCTCCACTGCTTTTGGTCCTATTTAATAATAAAGGCAGCCTATAAAGCTGTTTTGAAAGGCAAGGTAAGATCAATGGGGATGGGGTTTTTTTTCTTGATGTCTTTTAATCATCTACTTTTCCAGTGAATATTCTTGCATGCTTTATTGACCTTTTTGACAGTGGAAGTCTGTTAGGATTGTTAGGGTAGCTTTGTTAGGATTTCTGACTTTAAATATGTTGCTAAAGAGACTCACAATAAACATAAGATCAGTTCTTCCAATAAACATAAACTCAGTTCTTGTTATATCTATATCTTAATACATTATATGAATTCAACTATAACAGCTGGCAAATTGTGGTTCTCCAAAGAGTCACTCAGCACTATTGTATTTTACCTCAGAATAGAATCTGTAGGTGGGTATCCCACTCTCTGAAAGGTTCAAAGGCTGAACTTTGAGCTCTATACATAAGGAAACTCATTGAGCCTTGTATTTTAGATTGTCTGTATTTTTTTTTCTTATTTATCTACCCGATTTCTGAACTAAATTCTAGTTTCCAGTGGAAAGATCATTTTGAACTGCTCCTTTAAACTGCCTAATTGCAGTGAAACAGCAAGGTGAAACAGCCTATTGTGCTTCTCTTCAGCCTGGTTTTCTGGAAATAGTTTAGGCTATTGTGCTAACTCAGCCAACTGTGGTTTATTCAATGAAACCTGGCTAAGCAAACATTTGCATGTGGTTTAGCCGCTGTGAGTCTGAAATATTTATTTTTGACGATCTGACTATGTATTTATTATTTGAGTATTAGATTGAATATATTATTCTGGTTCAAGTGATTGTTGTTGTAGTTTTGTGCTTAGTTCATCACCAGAACCATTTTTTCTTAAGCAAAGGTCTGTTTCTTAGGACCAGAAGAATCTCTCTACCTGTGCGTGTGTATACTTGTCAGGGGTATATTTTCAATTCTTTTTGAAAGCACTTGTGCAGTTACAAATATGCATTGATTTTCATGCATTGTATTTTTCTTTTTTAAAAAAAATATGTGTGGAAAATATAATACATACATACATACATACATACATATAACCTTAAAAAGGCATTATGCAAAACAGCCCCAAGCAGTTGCAGAATGTGAAACCACAAATCTACCCAGACATCTTATCTTTAGACTGATAGCTGGAGTTCTGTGCGGTTTCTGTGTCTTCCAGACTGATCCGCATACTGGAAGGTATTTAACTGATGTTCTGGTAGGCAGCCTCTTGCTTCATGGGAAAACTGCATGTGACTTCTTTCTAAACCTTCTTAATCATTTCCTTTCTGCTGCCTCTGAAGGCTGGGAAGTGGAATCCTTTGCATGTAAGTTTCTCTGGTAGGAAGAACACAGTACAGTATCTCTTTCTGTGGGCTTGCCGCTTCTCTCCTTTCTTTTCTGTGTCCTTTAATTATTCAGCTGAATATTCACTTTGCTAAAGATTGCATGCTCTTTGCAGCTCTGGAACCAGCTATTTGTTTTTGTTTTCTTCCTTAGTGTTTTCCCACAAGGGCAGGGTCTACTTTTTTTTTTCAAATCAACTGAGTGTTGATCCATTGGATGCGACATGAATTGACCAACTGTCTTGTTGACCGAGCCTGACATCATACAATAGCTAACCATTAGCTCCATGAGCCGCGGTGGCACAGTCGTTAGAGTGCAGTACTGTGGGCTACTTCTGCTGATTACCGGCTGCCAGCAGTTTGGCAGATCGAATCTCATCAGGCTCAAGGTTGACTCTGCCTTCCATCCTTCCGAGGTCGGTAAAATGAGGACCCAGATTGTTGGGGGCAATATGCTGACTCTGTAAACCGCTTAGAGAGGGCTGTAAAGCACTGTGAAGCGGTATATAAGTCTAAGTGCTATTGCTATTATTTAGCATATTCCTAGACAGAAAATATATAAAGCTACCGGTATTTGACTTTTCTTCTCTTGACCTCCTGTTCTGCGGACCTTTTCAGGATGGAAACATTTAAATATGAAAAAAGGGGGAATTTTTTCTGGAGTTGCCCCCAGCCGAGTTTATCATTTCTATCCTGCCATTAACTTACAGGAGGGATAATTAAAAGCATTTCCAATGGCCCACAAGCCTATGTGAAAATTTTATGGAATGTGTTGTGGCCCACCAGCAGCCTGCGTGGATCGTGGCTGATCCTGAAGACGAGGCTGGTGTGGTGTCGCGTCAGCAGCCTGCGCAGCCGGCACTCGCATCGGACAGCAAGGAGGCTGAAGAGGATCTGGTGCCAGAGGCAGAGACTCAGCCAGGGCCTTCAGAACCTCCAGAGGTTTCTTCAAGTGGAGAGAGCAAAGAGGAAGAGCCTCTCCTCAATGCTCGAGCACACAAGACTGCCAAAAGGCAGGAGTGGCTACTCAGGAGGAGGAGGTCTCCTCAAGAGTAAGGCTTGAGGATAATTGGCCACTCCCTTCGCCTATTAAGTCACACGTGGTTAGTCAGTTTCTTGCTGGAAACAACTTGTAATTATCATCAGAGCATTTTTGGAAAAGTCTTATCGTATTTTGTTTTCTGGGCTGGTTGCCAACCTTTGCCGGACTTTGGTTTATTCTTGCTACTTAATAAATTTGCTAAGGACTGTTGGTGTGTGTCAATATCCTCGGAAAACCGGAGCTGGGGCAGAACAGAATGTTACTAGATAGGGCTATTTATTTCCTTTGGTCTGGTGATCATAAGAACAGTAACCAGCACAGAATTTTATTTCTGCTTTGCCAATGGCTTTCATCCTACATTTGAATTCAATATACAATCTACTATTTGGCCATGAAATAATAGGTGTCCTATGCACATCCAGCAAGACTTCAGAGGCTTTAGATGCTAGCGTTCCTTTCTTATGCAGTGCTAAAATTCATTACATGCATCAAATTCACACCCTTGCAGGTTCACTCAACCATCCATCCCTTTGTCACTTTTAATACTGCTTGGCCTTTTTCTGAGGCTCCTTTTTCTGTTTATCAGGGGGTTTTTTTTTTTCATTCTGCTCAAAATTTACTGCCTGCTGTTATGCCAAATGCAATTCACGATCAGGGATTTTATTATATAGCACATTACTTCATAGTATATTGAGCGCTCATTGATGCAGGAGTAGGGAGCCTTTTGGTAGTAGGGCTGGGGGGAGAGCGGAGAGTCAGAATAAACAGAACAATATTAAGAATACAGATGGGGCTGGAATTTTACAGGATTTCTCCTCATTTTTCTACAATGTATTTTCTCTGATTAACTATGTTAAGATTATATAAAGTGCAGTCTTCATATTTCCTACCTCAATATGGCAGGCAACTGCTAATCTGGGGAGAGTGCACCATTCAAGGTCAAGATTAGAGGTAGCTCTGAGAACTATCCTAAAAATAAGAACTTGGGAGCCACATATGGTGGTTGGATTACCAATTGCCCATCTTACATCAATGGCTTGTTAGTTGTTCATGCCCTTCCCAACTGCCATACTTTCTTTGCTGCTGCTTCTTGGCACACACCCTCTCCTGCTTATCTTGACTGCCACTGCAGACATGGCTTCCAGTTCTGATCTCTCTTCTGATCAGTCAAAAGCACGATTGCATGCTTTCTGTAATCTCAAATCCTGTTTTTTTTTTCCTTTACTATGATAGCAAGTGGTTTGTTTTGTTGTTTTTTGGTTTTCATAATCCAATTTGAAGCCATGACTGGTAATGCCCGCAGAAGCTTCCTATGTTGTTTATTGAGGCCAACATTTCTTCAACATCCAAACTGTTCTTTTTCTGTTGATATCTTTACTAGAGACATTACCAGTTAAATGCTTGGTTTGTCAAAAGAAAATGTATTTACCAATGGGAACTCTAGACAAAGAACGCATAATCAAAATTGTCAGCTGGAATCTCTTACGGCTATTTTGGCAAATCTAGTAGCATAAGCAATAACAACTGCAAGACGGATATCTGGTATAAACTTTCAATACTGTATACTAGTATAGGTTTGCAAGAAGTCATAATATGCCATTGCTGTTCCTCTCTTTGTTTATATGGAGAGGAAGAAAAATTGAAAGCCTAAGCTGTAGATCCATGGATCAGATTTACTGATTATCTGCCATTCCTTCCTCAAAGTGGGTGTCAGACTACATTATTTTATTGACAAGGGACATTCAGAGTGATATCAGGAATAAAGTAATGCTAAAGCTTGCCTTAGATGCAACAGAAGTTGAGACAAGTATATCTTGAAGAGATTCTGGGAAATATTGTATAAGGGAGGGAGGGAGGGAGGAAGGACCACAATAAAAGAAGTTAAAAAGGTGAGGTTAGGAGGCAGCAGAAATGGGAGAAAGGAGCAAGATGGAATTAAGAGCCTACAGAAAGTTAGCATATTTTAGTTTATGATTGTTAAATGTTATACCCTGTATTTGCTCTGGGAAGTCCAGGGTGGGGGGAGGGGGGTTGGAGGGAGAGGGGGGATGGGGAAAAAATTGTTGTAATATTTGATAAAACTTTTTAATAAAAAAAATAAATGGGAGAAAGGATGAAACAGAGGTATCTAGCCACTTGTTTGTTTGTTTGTTTTTGTCTGTCCCACTGGCGTATATGCAATAGTGCAAAACCCGGTGCTCGAGTCTAATCTAGTTCTCAAGTCTAACAAATGGATCTGTCTGCTGTCTAACTTCTCCTTGAACTCTATAAACTGCTCTTTTTCCTCCCAGCCTAACTCTAGTACCAGATATAAGATGGGCTGGGAGAGGGAAAGCCTGAACTGATCAGATGCAGAAGGTAAAGTAGCAGGAAAAAAGGAAAGGATTGAGCTCTTCTCAACTAAGTGTCCTTTCTAGCACAAAGCCCATAACCTGGTCCTCACCAGGGGTGGGCTTCAAAAATTTTAGCAAGGGGTTTTCTGCCCGGTTGCTGGGTGGGCATGGCCATGGTGGGCATAGCCTAGTCAGCATTTTTGTCCTCTCTGGGCTCCGGAGGCTTTCCTCGACCCTCCGGGAGGATGAAAATGGCGTCCCCAGGCTCCGGAGGCCCTCCGGAGGCCAGAAACAGGCCTGTTTCCGGCCTTTCTGAACTTCCGGTAGGCCCATTTTACACCGTCCCCGAGCGTCTGCGCGCACCCTGCACTTCCTGCATCCAAAACGGGCCATGTGGGGACTCCTGGGAGGGGTTGGGTGGGGCCATCCAGGAGTGGGATTTGAGGGTTCTTCGAACTGCACAGAATCTAAGCTAGAAGTTCTCCCGAACCCCTGCGAACCCCAACAGCCCACCTCTGGTCCTCACCCAGCACCTACCATACTAGTTTGATGCAACTTTCCCTCAATTTTTCTGGTTTAGCACTTTAGAAGCAAATAGATAAGAGGCAACTGGAAGCTGGTTGGTTCCCCAACTTTTGAATGGGGGCAGAGAAACTGCCAAGAAACTCTTGATAGTTGGCTATATAACAGATTTAATAAACAAGTAAATAAACAACAGAACAGAGAGCCGATCTTCTTTCTCTTATGCAACTGATACAATAAGGTTTCCTTCTCCTCTCCCCGCTCCCCCTTTCCTTACACCTTTTGCAGACAAAGGATGATCGAAGTGATGTTGAGTCCAGTTCAGATGAGGAAACCTCCACTCTTCAGTCAAGGACCTCCCACAGCTCAGCTACCATCAATGGGACAAATGGAACAAACGGGTATCTCACTGGTAGCAACTCTGCAGAGGAATATTAATCCTTGGAGTATACACTACTACGTGAACTGTTTGCTACAGAAAACCAATAAGTTGTGAATGCAGGATTTGATTTTTTTTCTCTCTCTCTCTGTTCTTTCCTTCGTTTTTTTGTGTGGGGGGTTTAAATCTTAGAAAAATTATCAACACACACTTGGAATATTTAAAGCTTCTAATACCACACTGCTTTATTTCCTGTTTGTAAATGACAGCGCCACATGATTTTCTGTATGTAGGCATGCTGTATCTATCTATCTATCTATATATCTGACCAGATGGGAGCAGTATTTTCTTCAGTAGTTTTTAAGTATTATTTATTTTATATCTTACTTTGAGATGACTTCCAAATGAAAAAGAAAACTTCCTCAAGATTCTCTTTTGGACTTCATTAGGCTTAAAGGTTGCCAGGTTAAAGATGGGGTTTCTTTTGTGCTTGGTTTCTCTAGCCAGTATTCTGATATTGTAGTTGCTTGCTAACATTTCACTTATTGCAAAATCACACAAGTTTATGACTCTTTCTATATTTTTTTTTAATGAGAGGGAAGTTTCTTTTTCTGAAAGATGCTGATTTTAGAACTTGCTGGTACAATCACAATTGTCATTTCCCGTCATTTTAAAATATTATCTTGATAGTTTTATGTAACAGAGTCAGTTTGAACATCCATTTTCATTCACTATATATGCTATAAGAACACATTGTTTAATTGATTTTACCTGCCACCATTCCCCAACTTAGTGGCAAATTTGATTTGGCTTCCAGCCAATGAACTAACTCATTCTTCAACATAGGTCCTATCTTGCAGATTAGCTCAACTTTTCTTTTTGGATCCATTTTTCAAGCATGTGCAATCGAACTGGTATTATAAGCACTAGTTTATAATAATTATAATATTTATTTCTTGCTTTTCCTTTCTTATTATTTACAATATTCATTTCCTTCCCTCAGTAGCCCTTCCAGCTGCTCAAAAATGATGTTTAGAGTCTGATCAAACCATCCCATTGCCTCGTCTTGCGCATCAACAACACCTGAGCTGGGATGATTCAATCAATGACCAATCTGTCCAGAGTTCTTTTGTTTCTAGTCCTTCCAGTCAGCCCAGAGTTGGCTGGGAGACTGTCACTCCTTTCCCAGCTTTACCTTTATTTATATATTTATTTAGCTGAGGTGAAAACTACACATGGCACAGGTAGAATCAGTACTACTATAGACAAGTCAGGAGGATTGTATCCCACATGCGTTCCTGAGAATTTTTTTTTTTTTACACAAACTCACCTTTGCAAGAGAGTAAAACCAGGCTCTTCTAGAGCTTTTTGTGTTGCAGAAGGCAGAGCAGTCAGTCACACACACACACACACACACACACACACACACACACACACACACATTATATTTATAGCTGTATTATAGGAAAAAATATCTTAGGGTTAGAGACCTTGATAGTCAGGGAAGTGGGGGAGAGGGATTTATTTTCTTTTTTTTCTAAGTAGAAATGCACTCACAAATAGGGCTTCCACCCAAAGTTTGGAGATACTTACGGTAGTTTCAGCTCCAGCAGGACTTACAGTGATCAAGGATAGCCCCAACCATCTTGGTAGCCTTCTTTTTTTTTTTTTTTTTTGGAGGGCTCGTGGGCTGTTGTGAGTAAGAGTGGGGAATCCGTTTTGCCAGTTAGTTGCACAGGCCACATCTGGAACAAATGGTATGACTTTCACGCCGATGCTTTTTAAAAATTATTTTAGAAGATATACATTTGCTTGGCTCCAAAGTCACCTGCGCCAAAGTTAGTATTGAAAGATCTAGCATAAAAGAAAGAACAGAAACTGGAAAGAATGTCTTTGTAGAAATAATGTGGGCTTTAGAGGCATGATGTAGAGGAGAGACCGAATTATCCATACGGCTAGTTTTAATGGATCACAGTAAATGCCCAATTTTTACATTTACTGTTGGTACGACGAGTGGCTCATTTGAATGGGTATTATCTTACCAAAAACCTCCTGCTTAAGAGGCACTTGCTTTCGGTTTAAATGAGCCAGAAATTAATTATAAGCCAGTTTGGGAAGGTGGTCTATTTTATGTTTTGTTTGTTTAGTTTTTTGTTTTTTGCTGCTGCATATCTGTAGCTTGAGAAAAGTTGTATAGTATTTTACCTGGCTTTATTATACGGGAAGAGCTTTGGAGGAAAAAAGAAGACAAAATAATTAGCTACCCTGATTACCATTTATATGAAGAAAGAGTTCATATGACACTTTCTGAAACCAACCCAGGTGGTATTTTCTGTTTTCCCAACAGATGTAGGGATGCTGGTTCCCAATCTTCCAGATGTTTTGATTTGTTGCACAGACCCCAAGGTATCTTAAGTCTTGAGCTGGACTCTGATCACTTGACTGTTCTGTGCAAATGCATTGGCAAAAAACAAACAAACAGTCACTTGTGTGACTAAAAATCTCTTGAAATGCAAATATGGTAAACATTCACTAATGTAACCCATCAAGAGTCCTGCACTCAAGAGTTTAAGAAAGGGGAAATTAACAGTATTAATACCCTCCTGGATATCAATTAAAATTTAATTTGTTCCAGAGTTTCTATTTTTATTTCTATATTGTCATTCCAAAGCTGTCACCCTTTGACACAAGCTCAGCTCTGATGCTAGGCTGAAGTCTTTTAAGCAGATAGATTACAAGGGCCACACAAATAGCAGAACCTGAGTTGTGATAAAGTAAGATGGTCAAAATAAATATGCGTTTGATGTTCTTTCAGTTAGGTAATATTGAAAGCGAACATTTAATTCGGAGAGTTGGCCTGTTTAATCCCATGTCCAAATAAATGTTGCAATCAGATAAATAAAAAAAGGGGGTTCCAGCTTCAGTGGTTGGCACTTCAGCAACTAAAAAAGTGTTAGATAGTATGAGCGTTAAGGCTACAAAATATAAGTAGACAGTGTTAAGTCACAGGAAAATTGGTCTCTTTTAATACCATGAAGACTCCACTGAAAAGATGCCCCTTCTTGCACTCTAGGGCTTGTAAGAAAACGAGGATAGTGTTCAGATGTATGTAAGTTAAATGTTCTCCTATGATTGTGCCTGCAAAGAGCCCAAGTCAAAATAAGGAATTATTCCCAGGAAGATTTCCTAGAATCCATCTGAAATTCCTTTGCCTCTAATGGTATTTTCTCATGTAGCTTCTTTATTTAAAAACAAAAGTTTAAAAGGTCTTATTTGTAAAAGCTGTTTGGTCCCTTTTTGCACTAGAGTAAGAAATGCAGTAGCTGGAGTGTGTAGAATAGGAAAAAAAAATTGAAGAAAACTCTCTGGGAGTTAGTAGCCTTTAGATTGACTGAATGTTTTAGTAGCCAGCCCTGGAGTAGTGAAGTAAGATCTATAGTTGTGTGCATTTATTCTGTTATCAAATAACAATGGAACGCACTAAAATAAGTAACAGTGTGTTTTTTAAAAAAGAAAGAAAGAAAAGAAAAAGATTGGCTACACATCTGAAGGCGAAAGTCTCTTTGGTGTACATCCAGTTAAGTTGGAAGTGTGACGCCTTACCTGCAGTTTCAATCCAAACTGTAGAGTGCCAGATTAAAAATGCCAAAAAGAAATAATACACGTATCTGTTGTCATTTTTGAGTTGGTTCAGTGGATTTCTCATTCGTTGCCTCTTTGATGCAGATTGCCATTTCCTGTAGGACTGGTTTACCTAAGACCCAACATAGAGGTCTGGGTGACTTTATCTTTGTACTCATCTTGTAATTCAGACAACTTACACAGACAACTTGATCCTTTTCTTCCCCCCCCCCCCTAATTTTACTGTTTTTAAATAGTACCCTTAATTGGAGCTTAATCACATGCATTGGTTCATACGAAAAATTTATATACAATGGAGGGAAAGGTGCATACATTCTAGAATTCACTTCCTCTCTGTTCCTTGCACATCCCACAAACAAAAATACATCTTCTTCTGTGAAATACTCCCCATTTTGTTTTAAGGAGAAAATATTGGATATAAGTTGCTAATGACATCAACCTATGAGCCATTCTTCTGAGAAGCATTAATATGTGTTTGCCTCCCTACTCCTATCATATGCTGAAGCGGGCTTCTTCCTTATATCTGATATATGGAGGTAGGTCCCTTTCGTCCTTTAGCAGGATAAAAGCTTGATTTGGGATTATTAGAGAAGGAGATTAACCACCCATTTTCACACATTATCAAATACATTTCTGGGAATGATTCTGGAGGACCTTCAGACTGATAGCCTGTGAAACTCTGCTTTTGTTCCAGATATTCCACAACTGGAATTGAGCGTGTTTGTGTGCTTTATGAATGCTATAGTTTCCCATAAATGATGGGCAAATTGTTATGTAACTGAATGGCAGTTTCTTTAGCTTGTCTTACACTATATATAAAAAGATATAAATTACACGGTATGCTGATGGTTCAGGTCAATTATAATCTGTCATCACTTTAACAATACATGCCAGAAGTTGACATTTAGGGCTATTAATGTGCATTCTTTTCACCACAAATTAATAGGTGTATGTGTGCAAGCACACACATATATGTCTATATACATACATATGTACACACATATATTCACCACAACATAAACTTTGGCTTTCTGTAAGAAGCAGATGGAATAGTTTCTTCTCTCCCATTATTAATATTTTAATTATTTCATTATTGTTTGCTGTTATATGTTCTGTGTATTCCTGAATTCTCATGACTCATAATAAATTAAGAGTTCTGCATGCTACTGTGGGAATGACCAAAGTATTCCAAATCCAGCCGTCTGGAAATCAGAAACAATCAAAAGGGCTCTTATTATACTACAAGAGTCTTCCTTGGATAAATGGGATGCTGCTGCTAAACTGCCCAATTTTAGTTTCTCTCTTTCAGAATTATCTTGAGTTTTTGGAGGAACTTTCTTTGTGTAGGTTCCATCGCAGCATGTTTTTAACTGAAATGAAAATTAAGTGCCTGGCTGAGCTTTGCATACTTAGGAAATGGCTTCCCTTTGTTTTAATGTTGGTAGTATTTATTTTGACCCTCGCTTTAGCCTTGCGCATTAACGCTACAATAAGGTGATCATAACCAGATGGCAATGACAATCAGATCAAAGCAAAGTTTGATTCAAGCCAATCTGATATGGTGGAGGGCCACAACCGGTGTGCACAGAAAGTGCAATGTACCCCAAAAGGTAACTCCCTTTTATGCCCTGTGCCATATTCAGTAGGTCAGCTCAGGACCAAAAGCGGTAATTTTTCCCCCTGAGATTTCAAGACAATCGAACAGTCTGAGAAATTCCTAGAACTTTCAGAACTTAACTGGCATATTCCATGGTCAAAAAAAGAACAATGTGTATAGCCGTGGATTTTGCTTTCTTTCTCCTTTTTGTCGTAAATATAAAAATAACCATTCTTCTGAAATATTTGGAATCAATCAATCAATATTGTGAATTTAGATTTGAAAACACTTTCATAATAAACACTAAGCATTAGGACTTTTATTTTTCACTTGTCTTCTTTCTAATTAAATGATTGCAGAGGGAAACGTAAGGCCTGAACCTAGGCCGAAGTGCTCGAAGCAGATTGACCAGAAGTTGGATTCACAAATCACACTAAGCTATTATTACGTGTTGCATAAACCACAAGATCTGGACTCCCACTTCATGCCAAGCCATAAAGCATGATTAGCCTAAAGCACATTGTAATTGAGCATCACACGCGCAACCCATTTACCTTCCAGTAGTATAAGAAAACATTTGCATATGTTCAATAAACTGTGACCTCAGGCACCATAGTTGTACACCACTCACAATAAGGAGCTTTGGATAGTGCTGAAGAAAGCTGTATAGACCTCGCTGGCTCCTACCACCTTGATGTTCCTTGATTGAAAGTCAGGATAGAAACTCTTTGGGCAAAGCAAAGTTCACATAAAAACTGATAGAACTTCAGTATGGAAATGTCTTTTCCATAATAATGCTGGTTTTAGTTCCTATTTACATTGGATACAAGCCATATCCTGTCTGAAAAGACTATCTGATCCAGCACAACTTTCCTAAAGTGATGCGTCACCGTTTTCTGCTGTCCCCAAAAGCAATTATGCCTCTGAAACAGATTGAGAACTGAGGAACCGGTGGAAATTTCTACTTGCCCAAATGGAAGATCCTCCTGTCAGAGATATTCATAAATTGTAATTTATTAAAATAGTCTCAAGAGGCAAATCCTAGGGATTGTTTTAGCGAGCAGAGTCTTTTCTTAGTATTGAGAGCACCACAGGCTCTATCGTCAATACTAAGGATATGTTTTAATCTCTGATCAAAATCACTTTTGCAAAATATGTGGATGTTTTGAGTCGTACTATTCCCTCAAAATGCTGCTTTCTTAGAGGGAGAGTGGAATTACTGCTAGAAGAGTAATTCAGTGATTCCATGAAGGCAAAAAAAATAAGTTGGCTGCTCCCATTTCCCAAGACATTTTTAACTGTATAGAAAAAGCCACTAAAGACACTATAAAAATGTATAGAAAAGGCCACTAAGGACTCTTGGTGCAGATTTCCTTAAATTTCATCCTTTGTTTTTGATAGGATTTCCTGCTTGGTGTAGAAACCCAACCGAAAGTATTCCAATAAATGTATGTTGGCGTCAGCTTAGCCCTATCTAGAAAAGGGTATTCTATTAGTTTCTTTGGTAATTGGTAACTATCCAACCATTTGTCCTACTGGAAAGTATTTGCTAACCTTCAGGTGGAGGCTCCCTTCATGTAATTTAAGTCTATCACTGTGTCCAGGATCCAAGAGGCCACTCAAGAATATATTTCCCTTCAATCCCTTCCGAATGAGGCATCACTGCCACTTTTTCATTTTCTAAGAATGCCTAGAGACATTTCTGAAAATAAAGATAAGGATGGATTTTTGTTGTTGCTTCTTAGGATAGGTCAGAGCACCTAGAGGTGTTCTTTCTTTGATTTGTGCAATTTCTCAACACATTTATTTTCCTGAGACCAGAGTTAGGTACCGTGAGACCTAACCACCACAATACTCTTAAATGGTATTAAGAGAGGTATTTGCTTCTAGGCCAATGGGTTATATCTCACTTTCAGGGGCTGGAGAGCAATCTCGGCTCACCCGTATCCCCATGAATTCAGGTGAAGCTCTAAAAGAGACCTAAATTCTTTACCTAGAATGTACAAGATGGATCTGCAGTGAAATATATTGTACCAACATCCTGAGCAGATCTGCTGCTTGGGGGCCCTAGGGAGCCATGCCTCCTCAAGAGATACAAGCAATGTTCCTCACCCTTCCTCCATTTTTGTTTTTGGTTTAATATTCCACAGCTACTGAATATGTTTAGTACAAATTGGAATAGTAGTTTAGCCTGTTTGAATTCAGGTATCTGTTACACTTCTGCCAACATCAAATTGTGTTCTTTTTCTCAATATTCAACACAATGGAGTTTGTTTCAGACTGCATGTATGACTGGCTGGGTTTATATATCACACTAAACTGTAATTTATAACTGCATAAAATAACCAAAATGTGTCCTGGCTCATACAATGTTAAATTATTGTTCTTGAGCCAGTGTGTCTTGTTCGTTTGTTTGTCAAATTTAGAAGGCCACCCAGCTCCCTAAAGATTCTGAGCAGTGTACAACATTCAAAACAGAACAATAAAGCAAGGAAAAGGATAATGCCTCTCTCTAGAAGAGAGACATACAAAGCAACTTAAAAAAATTCAATGATGGACTTGCTTCTCACCTTAATTCAAGGTCTGGGGAAACATCCAGGTTTTCAAAGACCATTTAAACACTTTCAGGGTGTGGACCATAGGAATATCAGAGAGGATACTGTTCAGAGACAAGTGGTGTGAGAAAAAAGTGTGTTTCCTGGTCCTATGACATTAGATTATGCCTAATCCACCTGATTATACAGGATGGGCAGAAATTATCAGAGATAGGTGGTCCTTAAAATAGTCTAGTCTTTTTTAGCTAGCTACCTAACAGGTTTGCCAGTATTATGATATCTTCAATTCTCTCCTACTACACCTTGAATGAAAACAGCTTGCGTAATCCTAGGTGTGCCTTGCCTGTGTTTGCTCTTGTCTTGAGCAAAGAAAGATGGGCACGCCTTGAATTGTTCAATGTGCTTGGAAGGTGTGTTGAGGGAAGATTGGGAAGGGAACAGCAGAAATGCCTGTCTTCAGCTGTTTCCCATAAGGAATAAGACACATTTCCTTGTGGATATCAAGACTGGCCCATGTGGCAGTAGGACTATCCAACATTCATCGGCAGCTTTGTTGCCATCTACATCTCTCACAGGTATTGACCTATGATCCTTCCCTTCTTTGGGTGCTTCCCATGGCCCTTTTCTTGAGTCCAGACTGAACAATATGCTTAAGAGTTGGGAGTTGAATTGAGTTGAATATCTTTATCAGCTACCTTGATCCAACGAGAAGCTAAGAAGCAGGACACCAAAAAGAAAGCTTTTTTGTTTTTTGCTTGGGTCTAGCATTTACTTCTGAATTTTTTATCTGGAAAAAAACCAAGAGTAGAAAATGTCACTAATTAAAACAACTTTCCTGTGCTTATGGAATCACATCAAAGGAGGATCTGCAGTACTTCGGGGGAGAGGTTGTGGAAGTTGTAATCAGGGACAGCTACTCAATATAATTCAGTTATGCTGCTGGTTCTTGGAAAACTTGGACAGAAGAGTTTGCTACTTTTATTTTCTGGCTTTCTTCTGTGCAGTCCAGTATGGATGCTTCAAGTTTACCATCAATGAAGTAGTAAAGGTTTCAGACACATAACTGGTCCAGAGTCACCTACTGAGATTTATGACCGAGGAACTGAATTACGAGGGAAGGCTGTCAGTTCTAACCCAATCTTTTGCTCACTCAACCCTTGCGGGATCACTTTTCATTCTACAGTGGTGCTCTGTTTGCAGGCTGATTTTAAAAAAAAAATGCTCAGAAATCACCCTCCAAGCTGCTTCTAGCCTTTTGATTTTTCCTTGTCTATCAGGAAGCACATTAGATAACGATCACCCATTGGGCTAGTCCCTTAATTACTTTGTATTTGCTTTGCTCATCTGACCTACCTAATTGCTTGCCGTGAAACACCCAGCCTTAGTCTTAGAGCAAACTGGAAATGCTACTGCAATAGCAGGCAGCTCATAATGAAGAACCCACTTGCTGGCTGCATGGTGAGTAGAACATGGGCCTTTCTGTGCAATTCTCTCCTTCTGTTTTGTTCCCTTTGACCAGAAGACTGGATGTCTGTTTGGAAAGGGGAAAGTTTCAAAAGGGCTTGGAGGCAAGCAGGAAGAATTCCTTGTTCCTGCAGGACTTGTTGAGCACTCTTACAGTACCTGGAAGCTGGCTTCTGGATTGAGCAGCCGGCCATAGATTCCTGCATGCTCTTAAGTACCCTTCCCTCTTTATCTTTTTACTCTTCAGATGTTCTGTTTCCGACTTCCTCACTCACTCCTTAAGCTAATAATGAGCATCTCCATTCCTTCTGGGCATATCAAAAGCTGAGGGATATTACTGTTCACTTCTGGCATCTTGATTTTCTGACTAGAGCCCATCGTGGAAAAATGAAGCTGTTGATTATGAAAGATAAAAAGAATGTGCAGGAGAAGAAACCCAGTGGGAAAGAGCACAAGCAACATAGGACCTTCCTGAATGCTTTGTTTGTTGGTTTAAGTCTCAACTTTGAGGCTGGTGGGCATTCTTGAAGTTTTGAAAGTTTTGTTTTGGGGGTTTTTTTTTACATTTGTGTAAAATGTACACTTGAAGTGTACTTCAAGTACACTTGTGCACTGCAAGGTTGAAAGGATTAGCCAGTGACATCACTGAGGTGGGGATGCCTAGTTGGGGGGATCTTTTTATGTCCCCGGCAGAAACTGGAACGAAAGATGAGAGCTCACCCTGCCCCATGGCAGGGCTTGATAACCAGGGGTGGGTTCTACTTATCTTTACTACTGGTTCGCAGCAGGGCATGCGCAGAAGCGTTCTGATGACGTTGGGGTCAGTGGGCAGAGCCTCCCACCGGTTTTACTACCGGTCCGAACCGGGGGCAACCCACCACTGTTGATAACCTCCAACCTAGCTTCCTAACCACGCGAGACCCCATGCTCCTGTGACATGGGTAACATCACACAACAGCTTCCACAATGATTGTGTTAAAAACACACCTTTGCCAGAATTCTCCTTCTGCCCTGTTTTCCCAGTTCAGCCTCTCCTCTCCTAGAACAACTCCTTTCTTCCTCTCTTTGCTGAAGCTAGTAGGTGGGAAATCTGTGGGAAAAGCTGGCAGACTTCCTCCAAAACCTGCAACCAGAAATAACCAGTGGGTGGGGGAGTTATCCAATATACAGGAACAATCTGTTTAACAAAGCTTAAGTAATCTAATGTGACGTTTAATTAACCAAATATAATTTTGCCCTGGGCCATTTCCGAATTGCACCCCTGACATACCATCTGAAGGTCTCCTTAAAATATATATATATATATATATATTGAAAAGGTTAAAATACAAAACCCAAATGAAAAAAAATTAAACAGAGACAAAACTAAACAAAAACATTGAAAAAAATGTGAAAGGACAAAAACACATAGTATCTGACAAATCTGTTGCAACAACAGCTTCCTTTCCCCTTTCAAAGCAGGTCCAAAATTTATAAGACTTATTATATCCCTCTGCCAATAAAAAATGTTGTTACTCAAACATGCAGAGCCACATCTTACAGGGAAAATATTGAAGATTTTTATTTCTATTTGTGATTGGCTACAAGGCTGACAATTTGTTTAAGAAGCTGGCGTGTTCTGACAGTAAAAATTAACCACACTAGCATAGGCTGTGTCCTACATCAGAAATGCCTAACTTTTTCCAGTTTAAAACTACACTTATCGTTCAAATGGCAGGTCAAGAAGGAGGCTGCAAAAAAGTTACAGACAGTGTTAAAGACTAAATTTCCTCCGATTATTTGAAACAACTCTTTGGTGTGTAAAGAGCTATAGAGAAAAGAGAATGAAATGCAGTGCCCTTCCTAGTAGTGGGAAAATTTCCTTGTTGTTCAATCACGGATTTGATCACATTTGTCTCCTGCCTCAGTAAGAGATTCTGATACTTGCTAGAACCTTTATTTCAACCAATTGTCACCACAGGATTCCAACTCTTTTCTCTGAGCTTCATCTGAGTTTTTCTGGGTGATTTTGACCAGAGGACAGCCTGAAAAAAACACACCCTCAATCCTGTGTCATGTTTCAAATTTCATTTTGGGTAGATGCATTGCAAAAACAAGTGAGGAAAAACTAACATCCTTGAGGATAACATTCATATATTACAGCATCAAATGTATTTCAGCCGTGATGGCGCGGTAGTTAGAATTCAGTATTGCAGGCTAACTCTGCCCACAGCCTGGAATTCGATCCTGACCCACTCAAGATTAACTCAGCCTTCCATCCTTCTAAGGTCAATAAAATAAGGACCCAGATTGTTGAGAGGCAATATGCTGAATCTGTAAAACGCTTAGAAAGGGCACTATGAAGTGGTAATAAATCTAAGTGCTATTGCTTTTTTTATCTTTGGAAGTTATAAATATTTCACAGAAAGTCTACAAGGATTTTTGGATAGAATTAGCAGAACGTTTGTCTTTCTCTGCTTGATCTGGATCCACTACATGTGGATACAAGCTGGTTTAGGTTCTGCTGTTTTGCGCTTTTCAGTTTTATTAATGCTGTAATCCTTTCAAAAATTAACTTCATACATTAGGAACAGAAAAACTGATGTTTTTGAAAGAGGGAGGCAATTGAGTAGGCAAGTACACTTGTGTGGATGCTTAAAAAAAAAGGTGTGGTGATATTGTAAATACATCTCTTTGTGAGTAGGCCGGGCATTCAGTTTCTTGGGTGGAGATGTCAGATACTGAAAATTGTTACAGCTGAATAGCTGAAATTCTTGTGCACGGACACTCGCAAATCTGGGCATTGTATGTATTCTCATTGGTTCATCCATTTTCGAAATGAGTTATTCTTTTAAGTTTTCACTCCTTTATTCCCAATGTTTCCTGCTGGGAAGGATCATTGCCACTCACTCATTCCTCTCTTCCCCCCCACCATACACAAACACACAATAGCATACCCCATGCAGGTACAGACAATTCCAAATGCTTTGTGCCAGAACAACATAGCTGATCACACTAGCGTAGGCTTGAAATATTGCAAAATGTTAAACCTCCTAAGTGACTCAGTCCCTGTGCTGTGTTTCAGCATGATCAGGCATACCAAGCGCTGAAAGGGTATTCTAAAAATGGAGATAATTACTGCAAGCAACTCTTATCTATCCTTCAACAGAGGTATGTATGAACAGCCTGAAAGAATGCAACAAATCCTACGACTGAATTTGTTTTTGTTTTCAAAATTGGGAAGGAAGAGAGAGAGTTGCTGTCACATAGAGCAGGCTTTAAGATGAGACTCTGCATTGTTTGCAAGGAGTGTTTAATATACTCACCCACTGGTTACCAGGACAGCTAATGCTGGTAACCAGGGAAAAGACAAGTTTCAGAATAATATTATATATCTGGATTTTATTTCTTTTGCATGATATTTGGCTTGATGATAGTGTGTTCTCGGATTCTGTTACCCAAACATGCATAGCCACATCTTATAGGGAAAATAATTGAAGGTTTTTATTTCTATTTGTGATTGGCTACAAGACTGTCCATTTGTTTAAGAAGCTGGCATGTTCTGACAGTAAAAATTAACCACAATTGAATTTGCAGAAATAGCCATACAGGAGGATTAATTTAAAAGGGAAATCAAAACGTTTGACCTCCTAGACCTAGAGAAAATGCCAGAGGAAGAGAAGGCAAAGAGGATGGTAAAGTCATTTCCACAGATACCTTGCAAAGAGCCAAGGAAGTTCAAATCAACCCGACTTGTCTTTTCAACTGGAATGAGGGAGGTGCTTCCATGTCACTGGTCTTACACAAAACACATCTGAGCTAATGAGGCGGAATTCCCTTTTAGAGACCTATGAGTGTTACATCAACTGAATTTCAAGAGATGGTGGAGCAAATTCAAGCCAATGGGGAAACCCACAAGCCTTGCAGAACATTGTTGATGCAAATGAAATCTATCATCTAGTTAGCATATATCTATCTATTTCAAAATGAGCAAGGTGACACTAAATAAATAAATAAATAAATAAATAAATAAATAAATAAATAAAAAAATAAATAAATAAATAAATAAGCTCTGTTAAATGAAAAAGGAGTGAATACTGGATCAATGTGTCTTGTGGATGATTATAAGGAGCAGGTAACTCATATGGAAGAGGATTGTCTATAAATTACCCCAGGGGTGAAATCCAGCAGGTTCTGGAGAACCGGTAGTGGAAATTTTGAGTAGTTCGGAGAACCGGCAAATACCACCTCTGGCTGGCCCCAGAGTGGGGTGGGAATGGAGATTTTGCAATATCCTTCCCCCAGGAGTGGGGTGGGAATGGAGATTTTGCAGTATCCTTCCCCTGCCACACCCACCAAGCCACACCACGCTTACCAAGCCACGCCCACAGAACCGGTAGTAAAAAAAATTGGATTTCACTACTGAATTACCCCATTTCTAAACTCTACAGGGCTCCTTAAACAGGAGACCTTTGAATTCAGTTCAGATATTAATTGAAAGCCAATACTGTATAGCTCTTGTAATAAGGGGAAAAAACATGTTCTGGGTGACAGCTGCTTTAATTCCCCCATTGCTGTATTTATTTTGATCATCTCTAGTGTTATTTGATGTGCTCCACATGTCACTCTGCTGCAGGTTTAGTTACTTGACACATTTTATATATTATTTATTCGTTAAATTTACATGCTGCCCATCTCATTGTTGCAGCAACTCTGGGCGGTTTATAGAATGATAAAGTTAAAAAAAGATAATATAAAACAATTAAACTTATGAAAGATTAAATAAAGACTAAACTCCAAGAGGACATGAGGGTGGAGATCTTCTTCTATCCTATCAGCCATCTCCAACATACGACACCCAAAACGGGCCCCAGTCCAGCTTGCAAACCCAGTTAAACAGTTAATCTGAACCCTATTGTTGGTTTATTACTCGATTACTCAAAAGGCAATCTAGAATATTCTTTCTCTAAAGTTCACTTTATGACCTAGTTAGGAAACCTATAGTCTTCAAATTGTGTTGGATGACAGTCCCAAGCAGTTTCAGCCATCATTGAGACAGAATGAAAACATTTGAAGCGGCAATCTAACAACCAATCGGGAGGGCCACATTTTTCCAGGCTTGATTGGCATGGGAACCATTGAATCAGATCTTCAGCTTGGTTCATCCTACCTGGTTTCATTCTGGAATTGGGAATTATGTAAGAATAGTCACACCTTCATTCTGAATAACATCTTACAACATGGGAAACTCTGGCAATAATTTTCATGCTTTACTGATTTCAATATGGAATAATTTTAAACCGTTCTATTTAATTTAAAATGGCTGACATTTAATTGAAATCTACCATGCTACTTCCTTCATATCAGTTGTATCTCTAGGTTAGAAGACACTTTTTGTAGCAGTTATGGTTGATTTTTTATATTCCATAACAAAAGTTCCATAAGATTTACTAAGATGTACTTATCACTGAAGAGAGAGGGAAGACTTTTAGTTGCAGCTTATTTCATCCTGAAAACCCAATTCATTTTCTTGTCAAATATTTTGAGCACCATGGTTTTCATTAGCTGTACCTTTCAAAAAGCAATTGCCACTCCACTGAAGATTTGTCTTGCATCTTAAACCTTAGGACTTCCTTTGTATGAGATGTCTTTATAAAAGTGATGCTTTTATAAATAGAATGAAGCATTTTACCATCTGTGCAGTTAAAGGGCGGGGGAAATGAAGTTGAACAAAAATCACTGCTCTTCCTTTCATAGATGCTGGAGCATCGAAGGTTCCCCCCCCCACCTAATACTGAGAAAATAAAATGCAAAACTTTTTAGGAGCTGAACTATTCTTAATAGCCTGATTCTGAATCAAGCAAGTATTTGGCTCAGTAACTAGTTGGATTCGCACATTGCAGTAAGTCATGGCTGGTTTTAATCATGGTTTATTGAATAAAGTACAATGCCTACGTTCATACATAACACAGTAAGTCATACATTTATGCACAAGAGCTGTGTTTTCACAAAAAAACTGAAGTAAAAAATGAATCGAGATATACAATTTAATGGAGTAATGTCAGACATAGCTGCTCTACCAATTCATCAAAAAAAACATTTCAATTCTACATTGCATCTTAGAACACGGGGATCTCCCCAAGTATTTATTTTAGGCTATTCTGATTTCAACTGAGGATTGTTTCAAAGTTGCCATTTAAATTGATTTCAAAATTCTTAATCTCAGTGAATTAAGCAGACATTTCTTCCCTACTGGCTCTCAGGCAGGGGTGAAATCCAGCAGGTTCTAACAGGTTCTGGAGAACCAGTAGCGGAAATTTTGAGGAGTTCAGAGAACCTGCAAATACCACCTCTGGCTGGCCCCAGAGTGGGGTGGGAATGGAGATTTTGCAGTATCCTTCCCCTGCCATGCCCACCAAGCCACACCCACAGAACCGGTAGTAAAAAAAATTGGATTTTATCACTGCTCTCAGGCACTGTGTCACCACCTGCCATCTTAGCCTTTGAAACAAAAGATAACAAGATCTGCTAACTTTATCTGCCCGCAAAGTTTGTGACCCCCGAGTTGTATGCTGCTTTCCTGAAGGGTGTGTTAAGTGTTTTTTTTTTTCCACCTGTGATAGTGTAGATACCCATGGAGACCCAGCATTACTCAAACCTTCAGAGCATTTCAACAGAGGCTGCTTTAGATATTCAATTGTAACTTACGAGGACCCAGATTGTTGGGGGCAATATGCTGACTTTGTAAAACTGCTTAGAGAAAGCTGTAAAGCACTGTGAAGCGGTATATAAGTCTAAGTCCTATTGCTATTGCTATTATCAGATCAAGAATAAAAAAGAGAAACTGCTCAACTTATGTACATCTGTGTCAGAATTAGTATACAGATCTGTGATCAGTGCCTTCCAAGGATCCACTTATATCACCTCTGGCTGCAATAACTATTTTAACTGTCTTCCCGTTATTTGTCCTATACATTTTCTCATAGTCCTCTCCTGCTCCACCCTCATTCAAGGAGCATGTTTGATAAATTACGTTCCAGTCAAAGCCAGTAAGAGTGGCTGAGAGACGGAAACCAATTTTCTCATGTAAATTACATGAGTGCTGAGGGCAAACAGGGCATAACTGATTCATGACAGTGCAAATGAGAATTCTTAGGAGAGCGGTGCCGACTTTAATATGAGCTGCTGAGTGACATGAATTACAGAGCAGCAGGGAAGGATGACATTTCCAGAATGACAGATAGTTTCTGTCAAGTACAAGGAGCGGCATGTATTGGAAGAGGAAGGGATTTTTGGAAAACTGGTTGTTTTGAAAAAGTTCAAATCCTTCCCTTAGAGAGGTGTCTGTAAAAGAAAAAGTACTCTTTGAAACAAGGTACAAAATCCCATTAACATCCTTCCAACCACTACTAAATCATTACTTATCCATCGGTGATGCATTCATGCTGTCTGAAAATAAAAAAATATATATTTATTGAATTAGAGTGTAAACCATTTCGGTAGTATTTATGTTCTTAAAAACTTAGCAACAATCAAACCACTTTTAAATGACTTGTTGGAACTGGTTAAATATTTTGCTTCACTGTTGTTGTTGTTTTGGAAGGGTGGGGGTGGGGTATCTGTGCATCCATAGGGTTAAAACCAATACTGGATACAGTGAAATGAAATGAACTGTCCCTCCCCCCTGCTTCCACATGTTGCAGGGAGAATGAATTGGCGGTTACAGGTAAAGCATAATTTCTCTCTGTGTTCAGTTTCTTTCCATTTTATTTTATTTTTTTAAAAAAAATCAAATTTTTTCCTTTCAATTTTTTTAAAGGCATGTATGAATTCTAGTTGAGAAACCCTTTCAGAAAGGGAAGTGTCAATTCTAATTTTGTGCCATAAACATGATTGAAAACATCTGCAATGGCAAGGAAGGACATTTGCCAACCTACACTGATGAGCCATAATCCTAGATTCCTAGATGTCATTTGAGATGAGAGGGAGGGAGGGAGAGAGAGAAATACAGATATACAAATTGCAAGCATAGCCTCCAAAGTAGCCTTGATTTTTCCCTTCTGCCCATGGAAACATTTCTGTGGGTGCCCCTGATTCAGACTTTTCAGAAGCTATGCATTGTAATGTTGTCTTTGGACTGGTGGATTTGTCCATTTTGTTTTCACATATTATTCAACTTCCTCCAAGTCTGACTTTTGTGAGATTTATTAGACTGTTTAGCAAAAGATTCTGGCTTGCACAGGCTCTAGCACAGTTTGGATCAAGGCTGAAACTACTGTATTATTTTAACTCCTGCTGTATAGATTCTTGTCTCCGCACTTCCCCTTCTCTCCCCACCCTAGCTGCCCCCCCTCCCCATATACACACTCACAATGCTCATTTTTTCCTCCCTTGGTGAAGTTTCCAAAGTTTTAACTTCTAAGAGGAATGAGTGCCCATTGATTCTTTTCTCTACAGGACTAGTTTGGAGATTACATATGGTAAAGGACTGGAGAAATTGGCAAACAAGCTTGCCAAAATGCTGACTAAAATAAAAGTGAAGTAAGTATTGACTATACTTTTACGCTCTTTTCCTCCACCCCTGGTCCAGGATTTTCTTTAAGGTATAAAGATATGTTACCTTTGGTGGCTGTTGGAGTTCCAAGATTACAAGTAGTCTTCTTTTCTGGGAAATCTGTCTTCCTGGACGTGCTGCAGTTACGTAATCTGACCAAATGGTATAAACTCAAGAGCTCTGACGATTAGAAAGAATTGCTCTGCTTGAGACCGGCTTTTCTTGATTTTTTTCCCATTTGAGAACTGCAGCAACTGCATCCTAATTGGAAGCTGTTGAGAACCACCATGCATGATGGTTACTAATAAGGTGATTGCAAGGAACCACAGGGACACCGCAGGCTCCCTAAAAATGTTTCTAAAACAACCAAAATTGGGTCATGTTACCAAATATTACAAGAGTTTAGGATTCTCACCTAAAATGATGATGTGAGATTTGACTTACTTTTTTAATATATATACACTGCTCAAAAAAATAAAGGGAACACACGCAGAAGACATCCGAGATCTGAATGAATGAAATAGCCTTATTAAATACTTTGTTCATTACATACAGTAGTTTTGTGCTCCCTTTAGTTGTTTGAGCAGTGTATAAACTACTGTATGTAAAGAACATATCGGGTATATATGTGTGTACAGTTAATATCTTGGGTTTCTTCCCGTGTAATTGTAAACATATCCTTAAAAGGGTAGTAGCGACGTTTCGACGAAATCGCACTCGTCATCTTCTCATGTTCTCACACAGTTTGCCCATAAGCACGAAACCAAGAACATCAGCCAGAATGCGATTTTGTCGAAACGTCACTATATATATATATATATATATATATATATATATATATATATATATATTTATATTTATATTGATGCCCACCACTGACTATTATAGTATTTTTGTGGATTAATAATAGTCCTCAATAACAAATGGGAATCATTCTTCTCATTTGCATCCATACCCTATATCAGATATGGTCAATCTCTGTTAGAAACAATTGTATTTAGACATGGTTGAGGGGCTAAGCAAAAAAAGACTTGGTCAAAGTGCATGTGAATGGAACCAGGATCTTCTCTTTTGCAGGGAGAGGTTCACAGAAAAGTTGGGAAGCTTCTCCATATTTTCAAAAAAAAAAATGTAGCTATTATAGAGCTTTCATTGGAGTTTGTCTCTGTTTCCCATCCCAAAATAGGGAAATTATGCCACTATTATTCAACGGTAGTGATCAAATTGAAAAAAATATACAAGGGGGTTCATTCAACAGTCCATACTCTACTTTGGGATCTCAGAATGTCCTTCTGCTCTATGTGCATAATAGAATTGAAACAAACTGCTCCAATATTGGAAAAAAATGAAGCAGTCCTCACAATAGCTGCACATCACTCGGGTGTCACTTTGCCATACAAAACTATTTTCAAATATAGCCAGCCTGCTTCTAGGTTTCATTTCTGCAAAGCAATACACATCTGTGATTCATCTTATAAAACCACTGTTACGAAATTAGCCTGGGTCTCAGATTTCCAAAATAGATCATACAAAAATGTAAACCCACACCTAGTAAAGAGGTCATATTTTCTGGGTTCTTAGGAATTCTAACTCGCTCATTCGGAAGCTGAAATAAAAACCCAAGTCTCCTTTTTTTCCCGTGGTCTTTCTTTAGCTATATTCATAGTACTTCGCTTTGTGTTTCGGAGGAGCTGAAATCTGAATCAGATTTGCACAGGTAAGCACAACTTGCTTCATTATTCAAAGTCTACTGAGGCCTGGAAGGGCTTTCAAACTTCTACAATAAACATTTTAGTGTTATTGCCTCCTCCTTGGAGATTGCATGGGTGATATTTACAATCATTTCTGCTGTGGTTGTCTGGCAAATGATATTGTTTTTCGAGAAGGCAAGTTTTCATAACATAGGTGTATATATTTTATGTCCTGCGTCTAGAAAGCTTGGCAAAGCCATTCAGACAGAAGCAATAAACCCAATGAATCGTATCCTGCAGGACCACGAGAAGAAGAAAAAAATAGTGAGTTCAGATAACCCTTGTTGTTCTGCTAATGTACTGCAACATTTTGCTTGCAGTATTTGGGCCTACCATGACACTGACTAGGATCCAAGCCTGTACCCCAAATTGTCATCAAAATATCTCTTGATGGAACCCCCCCCACTCATCCTTCATTTGAATCTCATCCATTCCCCAGGTCTGAATATGTTGGGAATGGAGATTTTGCAATAACCTCCCCCCAGGAGTGGGGAGGGAATGGGGATTTTGCAGTATCCTTCCCCTGCCATGCTCACCAAGCCACGGCCACCAAGCCACACCACACCCACCAAGCCACACCCACAGAACCAGTAGTAAAAAATATTGGATTTCACACTGGGATAGGCTTCAAATTTCAGTGAGGGCCTTGGCATTTACTGGGTGAAAACAATGTGACTATGCTGTGGCAATGATCTATTCCATACTGTGCATCTTGTAGGCAAAGCATCTACCACATGGTTTCTACCTCTTAGGATTCTAAGTAGTCAATCAACAATTGTGTGAGCTAGCAAAACAAGATGGACCCGGTTTGTGGGGGCAATAAAATGACTTTGTATAAAATATACAAAAGTATGAAGGCTATTGCTTAACGCATTGTAAGCCGCCCTGAGTCTCCGGAGAAGGGCGGTATATAAAAATAAATAAATAAATAAAAATAAAAAATAAAGATAAAGGCATGCCACATATTTCAAAGGTCTCTGAGGTAAAAAGTCTTTCTAACCTAAAGAGATACTGGTACCCATTCTGTCCTTTGTGATCTGTTTGATCTAAGATACTGTAAAATGGACACCTTGTGAAACATGGTACATGAAAAACCCTCCACTTGGTGATAAGCATAATGGAAGATCAAGTTGAAAACGATAGATTAACAATGATATCATTTTCAACCTGATCTCCCATTACGTTTATCACCAAGTGGAGGGTTTAGGATGGTGTGCACAATAGTATATATCGGTCAGTGCAATTCATTTTTCTCTCAACCCCCTCTCTTTTCTTACACCTTTCACTATAAAGCTTTTGCCAACGTATTTCTTTAGTAAATCTTGGGGTCCATGTAGAGAGGTGGGGGAGGTTAAAAAATTCAAGGTAGCCCATCTCTTTCTTATATGGTAGACACCAGTGGTGAAATCTAAATTTTTTTACTACTGGTTCTATGAGCGTGGCTTGCTGGGCATGGCAGGGGAAGGATACTGCAAAGTCTCCATTCCCTCCCCACTCCTGGGGGAAGGAGATTTCAAAATCTCCATTCCCACCCCACTCTGGGGCCAGCCAGAGGTGGTATTTGCCGATTCTCCGAACTACTCAAAATGTCCGCTACCGGTTCTCTGAACTGCTCAAAATTTCCGCTACTGGTTCTCTAGAACCTGTCAGAACCTGCTGGATTTCACCCGTGGTAGACACATACTCCTGGCAAATCCTAAACTGAAAGAAATGCAAACTGTTATTCTCTTGGATTTTTTGGGGGGGGGTTTGTTTTACATTATCTATTCTATTGTAAAAAAAATAAGCTTTTTTTAAAAAGTTAAGATTTAGAACTTACCTTCCGCTAAAAAGTCCAACATAACTAAATATATTATGTTATATTCCCCAAAGTACCAAAGGTGCTTTTTCAAGAGGCAACTGGACTTTCTGGCTTTTCTTTGAAGATGTTTCGCTTCTCATCCAAGAAGCTTCTTCAGCACAGTCATCCTGAACATAGATGACTACAAGCAAGGCCAAGGTGAGTAATCTTCTGAAGGACACTGCTACATATGAAACTCTGAAGAGAGACCCCACCAGCAGTTACAAGAAACCAGATAGTCCAATTGCCTCTTGAAAAATCACCTTTGGGACAATCATGACCTGGATGACTGAGAATCTCCATAGATAAAATGAAAACCTAATGAACAGTTATTTTCCCCCCTGATTGTGGTGTTTCTCTCCACAAGGTAGATAATACCGTTGAAAAGGCAGCCGAAGCAGTTACCAGCAACTGGCGTCAACAGTTAAAGGCAAGTTTCAATCTTTTATTCCTACAAAAATACTTCAAAGTGATCCATCCATTGCAAACTGCTGCAATGGTTCCATTTACCTAAATGAGATTCAGAAGTTCTTCCTAAGAAGTGTGGGTGTCTCTAATGACTACAAAAAAAGATACTCGCTGATTGGGTTCTAATTTGCGAGAAGAAAAGAAGGTGATTCTAAAATAAGTGACTTAAACATTTTCAATGCTTAAAAATTAATAATCTGGTGGACACAACTCTTTAAAAAAATTTAAAATTTTCTTTAAAAATTGAACATTTTCTTCTCCCCTATATTACACTGACCAGTATCCAACAACAAAATATTTACTATTTTCAGGGCAGTGACGGATAGATCTCATCTAAATGTCATCATCAGCAAGCCAGAGATTGCAAGCCACTGTGTGTGCGTGTGTGTGTATTTGTGAGTGTGTGTGTGTGTGTAAAAAAAAAGTCATTAAGCCAATGAGCATTAAAAAGAGTAGAGCTTCAGTCCCACAGTTGTACTCACCCTCTGTTGATATCCCAATAACCATGGTTTGGATTGTATGCAATGCCCAAGACATGGAAAAACAAAGCATCTACTGTAAGAGGTTGCTTACCATGGCTTGTCATATTCACTCTGATTATGAATTCTGTTGATATTGGTGTATTTATGGGATAGGCCAAGAAGAAATTAAAAGAACTGACCAAGGACCATGAAGCACTTTTCCGCAATACAGAAAGCTCCCACCCATTGGCTTCCCCAAAGAGCAAAAGAAAGGTATGTCTTCAGACAAATTGAGACATTATTTGAAGAGCCTTGGTGGCACAGCAGACTAAAGCACTGTTAAGTAACACCAGCTGCCTGCAATTACTGCAAGTTCAAATCTCACCAGGCTCAAGGTTGACTCAGCCTTCCATCCTTTCGAGGTAGGTAAAATGAGGACCCGGTTTGTGGGAGCAATAAGCTGACTTTGTATAAAAAAGAACACCGCTGGGGGGGGGGGCGAAAGCCCTACTAAGCAGGTATATACAAAAGTATGAAGGCTATTGCTTAACGCATTGTAAGCCGCCCTAAGTTTCCAGAGAAGGCGGCATATAAATTGAACCAATAAATAAATAAATAAAATTATATAAATAAGGTGGAGTAGGTAGACAGGTAATTTGACTCAGGATCTTCAATTCCCAGAGGAACACTTACCTGCTTGCTAATTACCTTCTGGGGAAGTATCTGTCAGCACTTCCGTAGCCTGTAATAGCACATTTCTCCTGACACCTATTCTTCTACATTACTTGGTAAATCTTAGTGATTACAGAGATGTTGCTTTTTCCTCTCCTTCTTTGCATGTGTCCAGATAAAATACAATTTTCACCTATTAACCTGCTTTGAAAGCAATACTCCTGCTGGGTGAAATCAATTACCCTTTATAAAAAAAAAACCCTGCACTTATATTTTCATTTTAGTTGCTCAGAAACCTAGAAAAATCTGCTATCAAACTGGCAAAGGAAGATGAAGACTATTACAAGAAGAACTTAACCGCCTGTGAAACTCGTGTGAAATGGGAGCAGACATTAGAAAATGGGCACCAGGCAAGTCACCAGAAGTTTCTTTCTAGCATTGTTATCTCTGTCTCTACTGAGCTTTTCTTCAGCTGGAAACAAGGCATATTGTTTTCCTTTTCCAATTATATTCTAGTTCGATTTGCAACTCCGTGAGGCACCTCCTGATTTACAGCTGTGCGTTCAAGATAAAACATCTAAGGCCCCCAAAAGTATAACTTTAAACCCTGTATGGAAGGATAATCACTTTTTCTTTCCCAGCACTAGCCTGATGCGAAGCTGAAGGTAACAGCAGGCAAGAAGTTAGAGCTGCTACTAATTCTTTGGAGCAGGGGTGTCAAACTCGCGATGACATGATGCTGTCACATGACGTATCACAACTTTTTTTCTCCTTTGCTAAACTGGGGGTGGGCGTGGCCAGCGTGTGATGGGCCACAGGTTTGACACCCATGCTTTGGAGCAAGGATAAGAAATTTTTCCTTTTTCATCCTCAGTTACCGCAGATTCAGCTTCTTTTCCCATCTATGTCAGATTTTCATCATCATTACCTTCAATTTTTGGAGGACAGAATAAAGGGCACACATGTACATAAAGAGATCTCTTCACATGCCAACAGAGGTTTGCTGTCTTGTAGTATACTTTTAAGACAGTTTTACCTATCTTTGGTAAAATCGAATGTATTTGAATTTCATAGGTAATGTATTATTTCCCTTAGTTTCTGGCAAGAAAGAGGACCACGTGATAAAAGCATATTGATTTGCAGCATCATAAATGTTCTTAAGATACGCTTTGTTTCCATAGCTCATGCTGTTCCCAAGATTTATTTCCTAAGAACAGAATGAACAGTGAAATATAAATTCTTGGCTTGGACTGACTTCTGTTTTTGTGCATACATATTAGCTTTAAAAATAAAAAAAAATGTTTAATATGTATTTGTATGCTTTCCCATTCCCCTGCCTACAAATAGTTAAAATCAACATGTTCACATTAAAACATTCCGTAAGGAACAAGGGTGGCTCAGTGGCTAAAACGCTGAGCTTGTCGATCGAAAGGTCGGCAGTTCAGTAGTTCGAATCCCTAGTGCTGCATAACGGGGTGAGCTTCCGTTACTTGTCCCAGCTTCTGCCAACCTAGCAGTTCGAAAGCATGTAAAAAATGCAAGTAGAAAAATAGGGACCACCTTTGGTGGGAAGGAAATAGCGTTCCGGGCGCCTTTGATGTTTAGTCATGCCGGCCGCATGACCACGGAGACGTCTTCGGACAGCGCTGGCTCTTCGGCTTTGAAACGGAGATGAGCACCACCCCCTAGAGTCGGGAACGACTAGCACATATGTGCGAGGGGAACCTTTACCTTTAAGGCAAAATGAAAGAAGATGAATATGTTTAGCCTAAGAAAAGATGACCTCAGAAAGATACAGCAGCGTTCAAATACCTGAAGGATTACCACAGAGCGCAGAGCCAGAAGCAGTGAGCTAAAACTACAAGGAAGTAGATTCAAAGAAGATGTCAAGGGAAACTTTCAGACAGACTGCCACTTGAAATGATGAGCTTTCCCTTATTGGAAGTCTTCAGACAGGCTGAAGGGTTGTCTGTCAGATATGGTCCAGTGGATCCTGGACTGATCTCCAAGGTCCTTCCCAACTCCATGATTCTATATGACTGACAACATTGTCCTTTTGCCTGCAAGTCTTGCTAAAATGCTAAAATAAATAGCTCCGTAGTTGGTGTGTAGTCATGTCAGACTCTTGCTTGACTAAAAGGGCTTCTGGACTCTTTCTTTCTTTCTTTCTTTCTTTCTTTCTTTCTTTCTTTCTTTCTTTCTTTCTTTCTTTCTTTCTTCCTTCCTTCCTTCCTTCCTTCCTTCCTTCCTTCCTTCCTTCCTCCCTCCCTCCCTCCCTTCCTTCTTTCCTTTGTATATACCTTGTTGAGTCCAACTTAGTTAAAATCAGATTAATGACCATCGTGAACTAGATCAGAATCTTAAAAAATAATAAGAATACCGAGATTTGTTAAAAGTGCTTTTTTTTAAAAAAAAAAAATCAACACATTGGCCATAAATCTTCTCTTTTTTTTTTTCTTGGAGCAGTTTAATTAAATGCTGTTGAGCATCACCACCTCCACTGAGAGCTTCTGTGTCTTTAATTACATCCTTAGATCTTACCCAACTCCTTCAGTGCTCTTTAGCTAAAAGGAACACACCTACGTAACAGTCAGAAAGATCCACGATCCAAACCCCAGCTTATTTTTTTGATTGAGCTCAAGCTGCTTCCCAAGTGATTGTTTGGATCTATTTCTTTCAGCTCTTAACAATGTGCAAGCAAACGGAATTCTCTATTGTTAGTGCAAATGGATGGCTTCAGTGAACCAGAAAAGCATCGTTGAAGTAATCTTAGAATCAACTCTTAAGGCTCCATAGGGAAATAAAGGAGAGGGGGGGAGGGAGGGAGGGAGGAGAGAGGGAGAATTAATTAATTTCAATTGCATTCCTTTCTTCATCTGGTTTTTTGAACTATGTTTCATTATTGACTTGGGTGCACCACATTATAGAAGCAGATAGATCATGTTTGATTACTATTTTGCATTTTTTTGCGCTGATTAGAAGGCAGCAAGATTTGATTTTGCATCTGCCTTACTCAGGGAAGTTTTATGAAATTAATTCTGAGTCAGAATGAACCTCTCTAACAGATATTTCTAGCAGGACTGGAACCGATGGGTGGAAATTCTAGGGAATGCTTAACTACAATCTTCTGCCCAGCTGTACTAGAACTAGTCAAGGGAAGGCTTGGCAGGGACATTAGATACATGGTGTGGGAGGCAGATATAGGGAGGGAAAACAAAATTGACATCGACAATTTTGGTGGCCAAAAATGAAAAAAGACCTAGAGGACTATGTCCAGAGCTGTACAGTCTGTGCAACGATGTGCAGCCAGGGAAACCCTTGGACCTCCTGAAACCCGTGGCTAGTCCCACTTGACCATGGGAAGAAATAGCCATGGATTTCATTGTAGAGCTCCCAGAGGGTAATGGAAATACCATTATATGGATCAGGGATGGGTTCTACTTACTTTTGCTACCGGTTCACAACGGGAGAGTGTGTGTGTGCTTGCTTTGCGCATGCACAGATTGTCAATTATGATGTCTGGGTGGGTGGGCGGAGCCTTCCACTGCTTTTAGTACCGATTCTAAAGAACCGGACAGAACCGGGAGCAACCCACCACTGATATGGATGATTATTAACCTGTTCTCAAAGCAAACCCAAAGCAAGTCTCTCCAAGCCTCCCGTTGGCATGTAAGCTGGCGAAGATGTTTCTTACCAACATCTACCGCCTCCAAGGCATCCCACGAAGGATCATCTCAGACCAGGGAATGCAATTCACAACCAAATTCTGGAGCCCTGACATATTGTACATTCAGAATTTGTTTGACTGACTGATTGAGCAAAGGCAAATATACATGTCCCAGGATAATGTTGCAAAATCAAAACTGGATTGGTTACCAGGATCAGAATTTACTCTTCCTTGGAAGAGTACCTATTATATGTATCTAACACTCTCACCTACTACTTTCATACACAGGGGTGTCAAACTCAAGGCCCAGGGCCCGGATCCAGCCCACGGGTTGCTTAGATTTGGCCCATGGGGCTGACCTGGAGACAGCGAAGGACCGGCCTGCGGTGCCTCTGCCAGTGAAAACAGAGCTCGGGAGGGCTGCGTGTGGCTCCGTTTTCGCTGGCAGAGGATTGCAGGAGGCCATCACAGCCCAAAACGGAGCTCAGGAACCTGTTTTCGCTGGCAGAGTGCTCGAGCCACCCCAGGTTCCCCCAACACAAGTGATGTCAAGCTGACATGACCCCCTGACCACGCCCCCCCAAGGTGAAACAACCCTGATGCAGCCCTCAATGAAATCAAGTTTGATACCCCTGCTCTAAAATAATCTGTGTGATTGAAGACCCATTCAACTCTATAGGATTCACTTTAGATACAAGCCCTAATGGCTAACGGCTGAGTAAGATTGAAGTAACTGCTCTGACTATCAAGTTTAATTGTTTCTTTCCATCTGGAGTAGTCATTGTTTCCTTTCCCACAGAGCATTCTTGACCTTGAGAAAGACAGACTCCTGCTTCTCTGCAATACATTACATCGTTACAGCCAGCTTCTTTCTCATTTTGGACAAAGCCTCACCGCGGTATGTTAATTCCACATTCTTTTACTCTGAATTAAATATTACTGGAAAGCATTCCCCCGTCTAACCTCATCTGTCATTCATTCTAGTGCCATGCAAAGGTTCACAGTGTTGTCGCTGAAGCAGAAGCTGACAAGGACGTGCAGATGTTAGTGAACGAAATGTCAGTAACTGCTGCAGAGACCAAGCTCGAACTCTTGTTAACGGACTACTATGTAAGTGGGCTGCCAAAGCTTTTCCCAACTGAGATGCTGGAAGTTGAAACAGAGCAGTTCTGAAAGATATCAGGATGGATTAACTAACCTGTGGGGGTAGAACCCTGGTTGTGATCGCACAAGACAAAACCACAAGCTAACCAATTGTGGTTTTGGTAGGTTGGAATCTTTCAGTTCATTCACAAGCACAGCACACGTGTATGACAGCAGTGTCCAAGGATAGGTGGAATATCTAACCCCCTTGCCACCAGCAGCTGTGGTGGCATGGTGGTTAGAATGCTGTATTACAGGCTAGTTCTGCCCACAGCCAGCAGTTCGATTCTGACCAGCTCATGGTTGACTCAGCCTTCCATCTTTCTGAGGTCAGTAAAATGAGGAGTCAGTTTGTTGCGGGCAATATGCTGACTCTTAGACAGAGCTTTGAAGCACTGTGAAGCGTATATAAGTCTAAGTGCTATTGCTATATCAAAATGTCAAGATAGTGATCACATTCGTGCAATTCTTTGTACATGGACATGATGTCAACACACATACAGAAGGAGCAGAACATTGATCGCATGGTTGCCATTGTCACCCTGACTTTTGTTTTACCCAGCCACCCCTCCCTTCCCCTGGCCCGGGGTTTTCCTGGTACATGAGTAGAATCCAAGCTATTTACTATAGAGTAGCTAGCATCTGAAGCTTAAAATCCACAAGCTCCTATAAACTGTAAGCACATTTCATGCTCCAATATAAAGCCTTCATGGCAAAGAAAAGAGACGAAATTACTTTCCCCATTGGAGTAGGTTAATAGGCAGAACTTAAGAAAATTAGTCTTCTAATCAGGAATATGCAGAACAGAGAGGAAACGGAGAACAAAGGAGACAGCATATGTATGCATATATTTATTCACAATGCCTCTATTAATCAGTAGGATTAAAAGTGGCAAGAATCTTTGATTTTGGAGCTGTATTTCCCCAGCGCACATTTTATAGTCACTTTGGAAAGAGCGAGGGACAGCATATAAATTTAACAAATAGCATAAATTTTAATCTATTGTACTCTGAAACACAGCAAGTGCGTCATGGTTCAGTGTTAAATGAACTCTGAAAAGTGTCCTGACTGAAACTATGTTTAATTAGGGACAAAGTATTGTGCCAACATAGCCCATATCTTATAATGCATTCTATGGGAATCATGACATGGAAAGTCAACCTTCAGCAACAATGGCTTAGTTTAATGCTTTATTTCCTTCACTTAAAAGAAAATACAGAAAGTAAACTCTACTTAGATGGGGACTAAATAACAGTTACCCTGTTTCCCTGAAAATAAGACCCAACCAGAAAATAAGTCCTAGCATGATTTTTCTTTTTCTTTTCTTAAAATTTTTTAAAAATTGATTTTACTACAACAACACAACACAACATACATAACACAAACACATGTGTTTCTTTTAACATGTCAATTTCGTTCCTCTTACTTCCTACTTTATACATTCCCCCTTTTTCCCATCCTTTATTATCATTATCTTTATCATCCCTTTATTTCTAATTTTATTCATTTACAATATTTTACACTTTGATCACATTCTTCTCTCCATCCTTTATTCACATTTACTTTCCCTAATCACGAAACAATCGTACCACTTAGTCCATACTTGATAGTATTCTGTATCTTCCTTTTCTTTTATTTCTTTTGTTAATTTGTCCATCTCTGCACAGTCCAGAATTTTCTTAATTATTTCTTCCACTGTTGGTACATTTTTGCTTTTCCAGGATTGTGCGTAGACTATCCTTGCTGCTGTAATTATATGCAAAATCAAATATTGGTTTTCTTTACTGTAGGTTCTGTTCAATATCCCTAGTAAAAACATCTTTTTTTTCAAGTCCATCTTGTAGCCAATTATTTCTTCTATCCAACTTCTAATTTTAGCCCAATATTTTTTCCTAGCATGATTTTTCAGGATGCTTGTAATATAAGCCCTACCCCCAAAATAAACCCCAGTTAAGATTGTCAGCCAGATGGATGCATTTAGTACCGTATTTTCCCCAAAATAAGACCTAACCAGAAAATAAGCCCTAATGCATCTTTTGGAGCAAAAATTAATATACGACCCGGTCTTATTTTCGGGGAAACGTAGTATCATACCTGGGCTAAACAAATTCAGACCCCACCAGGGAAAAGTTCGAGTTTTCTTTATCTCTGTGATGCTTTCTAATGACCATCTAGACCAGGGGTTCAAACTTGCATCATCATGGTGTCGTCACATGATGTATCGTGACTTTTCCCCCCTTTACTAAACTGGGCGTGGGCATGGCCAGCGTGTGATGCATCCGGCCCGCAGGCTGCAAGTTTGACAGCCCCGATCTAGGCTATTGTAGCTCAAACCCAATATATTTTGTCCTCTGAAATATGCAAGTCAAAAACAAGATTTGCTTCTGTCCACGTAGTTATATATACTTCTGCCCCTAATCTTGACTCAGGTTGAATGAAAGACATTATTAAAACACTTTTCCATAAAATATTTCCATAAAATATGCCTGTCACACACAAAGACTTGAGCTTTTTCAGATGCAACCTTATCAATTCATGGCATAACAGAGTAAACTGCTAGCCTGGTTAAGTTTATACCTACATGGATCAGTGTCACACAGAATACTTGTGTGAATAACACTTGGTATTCAGTATATACCAGATCAGGAATGCACAAGGGTATGACAGCATAGTCGAACAAAATATTTTTAAAAAATCATTATGGGAATAGCCAGAATTTCAGTGTCTCTATTTTTAATTGAAGAGACTCAACATTAGTTACTACATTCTAGTATTTTAATTAACCACATGCAAATTCTTAAAAAGGGTTGCAGTATTTCAAATTCTGCTCACATATCAACCCGGAGAAAAGCCATAAAGGGTCATGTCTATTTCACAGGGACATAGAGTTCAATAATATAAATTCCTACTGCCATATGAAGAGATTCAAGATTACTAGAGAATTGCTTTTTTCAGCTTCCAACTTTTCATCCCACATAATCTCGATTTTCATTTCACCCTTTAGATATTTTTAAAATATATTTATATTGTTTCAATTAATCTCTAATTGTTTAATGTGGACTTCTTATATTTTAAATGCTTGCTTTTATGTATGTATTATTTTTATTGGATTATTGTATGCTTCCCAGAGTTATTTCTCATGAGATATGTGATATATAAATTAGATATATAGATCATAGATTATAAGAGGGGGGGAGGGAGGGAGATGAGAGATAGGCAGACAGACATGCCTATTTGAAGTGTTCGCCTATAACTATTTGTGAAGTGAAGGCTAATGCTGACAAAAGATTAACTACGAATAACAGTTCTAGGAGCTAGTCTTAACTGTTACGATTTTGGGACCAAAAAGTTGTTCATCTGGCATCTTTGGGGATTTTGATTCAACTTTTAATGAGAAAGTGACACAAGTTGTCTCCAAGAGACAACTGAAGCAAAAAGTTGGTGCAGAGGAGAATGGACACCCCTATAATGGGATTTTAAAAAGAACAAGGAATCTGTTATCTTCCACTGACACTTCTATATAAACTTAAAAACAAATTATTACAGACCAAATTGGCAAAGTATATTAGGGTGGAATGGCATCTGTGAGCTTCATTCTGGCTGTCAGCAATATCTGTCCAGCTTTTTTTTTTCCTAGCCAAGGGGATCCAACTCTTTCATTTTAATGTCTGAAGCATTTCATAATTCACAAGGCTACTAAAATAAACAGCAAATTGCTAGTTTTGCAATGAGCATGAGTTGAGAACATTATCAGAGATATACTTCATACTCCGCCTGCCTTTTAATCAAAACATATTAATCTGGTTTTCATTCTCCCCTCCTCTTTTTTACTATAAAAGGAAGAAGATATGATGAGCCTAATTGAAAAAGAGAGGAGACAAACTGCCATTAAAGCGAAAATAACACGGGTACAAACAGACTTGGAGAAGGCCCTACAGGACAAAACAGGTTACCTCACACTTTCAGCGTTTTATACTTGATCATTTACAAAAGGTGAAGGTGTATCTCATTCGTGCCTTCCTAGCTCTTCCAGACTTTAAGAAGCCCAAAATTTTAAAACTCTCACTTAGTTTGTTCCCCTTTGGATAATGGGTTTTATCGGTCCCTTTACCTGATAGCATTTACAGAAGGGGTACTTAACTTTTTTTGTGCCATGGATGGGACTCCTTTGAGAAAGTCTATAGAGACCTTCTCAGAAAAATGTATTTAAATGAATAAAAGAAAATAATATAGATAGATGACAGATAGAAGATAGATAGGTAGATAGATGATATAATCTATCATAACGATACAGACAGACATACAGATGATAGACTGATAAATAGATTATTAGATAGGTAGATAGATAAATGATTGATAGAGTTTCAGATGATATAGATGATAGATAGATAGATAGATAGATAGATAGATAGATAGATAGATTATGATACAGAGACAGATAGATTACATTACAAATGGAACCAATTCTGCTCATATTGTTACCAAAATATTTAAAAACTAAAAAATGTTTAACATACTGTAGAGATACATGTGTTTCTTTATTAAATAAATTAAATCAATAAAAAAATGATACCCTTTTTGGAGTATGATTTTATATAATGAAATATATTGGAGTTAATACTGAGGAGGAGGGGAGTTTAGATACCATACTTTACTTTCTTACCTATGAATAAAAAGCAAGAATTAAGTTAAGAGTTTAGAGGTTAACAAAAATAATGTAAATTTTTCCCATGCAAGTTCATGGATCAACAAGGGTTACAAGATCAAAAGCCCTACTTAAGAAAATGGGCTACATCCAACTTTTTAATATTTAAATGGAGCAGGAACGTTCCCAGTACTTAAAAGATATTTGAGGATGTATGGTAGGAATACAAGTAACATCTTCAGTTTGGAACAGCCTTTACAACTGTTCTAAGGTTAAAATATGATAGGTAGGTTCCAGTGGTGGGTTGCCCCCGGTTCTGACCGGTTCTATAGAACTGGTAGTAAAACCAGCGGGAGGGTCTGATGCTGACGTAATCAGAAATGATCTGTGAACGCTCAGAAGCAAGGCGTGCACACAATCCCGTTGCGAACCAGTAGTAAAGGTAAGTAGAACCCACCCCTGGTAGGTTCCTAAAACTGATACTAAACAAGACACACTGTCACTGAAACAAAACTGCGGGTATCTGAATAACGTTCCTTTTGATTACTACTTGAAAGTAGATGAGTCCCATTGTGTACATTCTAATATTGTTCGTTCTTTTTTTATAGCATGCATATTGCTTTATTCTAATATGACATATTGTGTTCAGAACCTAAAAAGTTTTTAAAATATTTTCATGTAAATAATGGAAATTTGCTAACAGTGCTTTTATATCATGGTTGATTTCCAGGGTTATTTAGACATTTATGAAGACTGAGCAAATCCTTGTATTTATATTTTTAAAGGCTTGGAACGGATGCTTCAGGCTTACAAAGAAACCCCCCAGTTTTCAGATGCAAAGAATATAAATGATACCATTGCGCAGCTTAATGAGGTACACTGGAAATTAATATATATGTCACATTTTAAATACCTATATTACGTAGCTTTTGTTCAGCTGAAATGCAATCTTCAGTTTTAATCCTTTGGCTGTCTTCAGAGGTGAACCTCTACATACACACATCAGTGAAGTTAGGCTAGAGTAACTACAAAAACAACCTTTCAATTTTGGGGCTGCATTTAAGGAAAGCCCTTTCCAAGGCACCTTGCACAAGTTAATCCAACATGAATTAAAAATACAATGAATGAATAGGGTTGAAATGTTCAGGAACAATGTCATCTTTACTAGAAGATTCATTGGCAATAAAATAGAATAACCTACCAAACATGTTTTGTTAATATTATTTGAGCATTATTTTAGAACAATAAAACAAGTACAGGTAGTCCTCAGTTAGTAACTAGCTTGGACAGTGACCATTTGCAGCTATGACGGTGGTGAAAAAAAAAAAGGGAGAGTGTTTTAACAAACTGCATCATGATTTGATGGCTGCCTCAGACAGAAAGTCCATACAGAGAGTGGTAAAGGCAGTTGAGAAGATTATAGGAAGCTCGCTTCCTGTTATTCAGGATACTGCTCAAAGCATTGTTAGAGACCCCACATACGGACTTCATGGTCTGTTTCTGTTACTCCCCTCTGGGGGGAGGTTTCAAAGTATTTATAGAGGACTACTAGATTCTGTAACAGCTTTGTTCTTTATGCCATCCGTCTTGTAAACTTGCAGGATTCTTTTTTCCCCGCCGTATATATGTATACATCCAAAGTAGACTGTGATGTTTCTCTGTGTCATGTATGTATGTATGTGGGTATATGCATAATGGTTATCTTTTGAGAGCTGAATACAACAAAATTTCATTTTAATCTATGCTGATTAGTGTACATTTAAAGTGACAATGAAGATTCTATTCTATTCTATTCTATTCTATTCTATTCTATTCTATTCTATTCTATTCTATTCTATTCTATTCTATTCTATTCTATTCTATTCTATTGATGAAAAAGGTAACTTTGTGACCAATCTTTATATTTACAACTTTTGCAGCAACTGTCTTTCTCTTTCAGTCACATGTTCATCATTAGCCGGTACATGTTGTTTTGTGCCTGACCAGCTTCCCTCCCCACCCTTTTTTTTGCCTTTGCAGAGCAGAAATTGCCTAAACAAACTAACTCTTCCTGAATTGCTTTTCTCTACAACATAGCACAACCCTTAAAAAGTCTTAACTGCAAGTTAAAAGGGTCAATTCTGGGAACTTAATTAGCCAGTTGACAGCTGCTTCCTGTAACTGACCAGACCTTAATCAGTTTTACACCTTCTGCTTTTGTTCACTTGCTAAGTGAACAAGGACTCCTGCTAGCACTTTCCTTTCAAAGTGAATTCCCCATATATTCCTCCTTACTCTCATGTAATCCCTTTCTCTCCAATTAATGTAAATACAAACATCAATTCTAATTATCCCAACACCAGGGTGAGCATTCAAATGGGCAGAGGAGTGGAGAAAAAGGACTTTTAAGAGTTGCCTTTTTACTCAGTTTCCCTATGAATCAAGCTCCAGAAACTTTCCCTGCCACTTGGGCTCACTTGTCTTTATAGCTATAAAGCAAAGCAAAGCTTAAGTAAAATCATAAGTACAGTGGGCATGAGATTTTATATTTAACGACCTCTTAAGAACTAAATTGCTGGTTCCTGCAGTTGCTAATGAGGCTTTATCGTATTTTAAATCTAGATGATTTAATCTCAGTGTCTCCCTCTGCTCCAAACAATCAGAACTGTGAAAACAAAACTGTTAGGTCAAAATATTTGTTATTTAAAAGGTAAAGGTAAAGGTTCCTCTCGCACATATGTGCTAGTTGTTCCTGACTCTAGGGAGCGGTACTCATCTATGTTTCAAAACCGAAGAGCCAGTACTGTCCAAAGACATCTCTGTGGTCATGTGGCCGGCATGACTAAATGCCAAAGGCGAATAATAATAATAATAATAATAATAATAATAATAATAATAATAATAATTTGTTATTTACATATATTTAAATATATATACATATATATATATATATATATATTAAAGGCAACATTGAAAGCTTCCCTTCTGCAAGCAAATCATTTCAAATTGGAGAGTGCACTTGCTGAAATTGAAAAGAAGCCTAAACCATCTCATCTCTGCAATGACTGCATTTCAAAATGGAAAGAAAAGGTAATATTATGAGATATGGTGCTACTTGTCCATAAAATGATTTCAGAGATCAGCTATATATATATATATATACACATCTACAACCTAATCCCATAGACCTACAGAATTATTTCAGCTCTTTTATTTAATCCTATAGCTAAGTAATGGAAATCAGATGTTATTATTATGTTATTGTAAACCCACCTGGAAATGGCCCAGTCTCAGCATTAACACTTGTTTAATCCACTTGAAGGTGGTTACATCTTGATATGTACATTTGTTATATTATATACTCTCAGGTTTGGCAGGAGACTCTAAGTGACATTTACAATTTCCAAATCCTTTCTGTATGATTTAACTCAGCAGTGGGTTTCAGAAATGCTTACCACTGTTTGCCCTGCACGTGCACCAGTGGTGGGTTGCCCACAGTTCGGACCGGTTCGCAAGAACTGGTAGTAAAACCGGTGGGAGGCCCCGCCCACCGCCACGGATGTCATCATTGGCGATCTGCGCATCTTCACTTCGCTCGCGCATGCAATCCCATTGAAGACCGGTAGTAAAGGTAAGTAGAGCCCACCCCTGACATGCACACTTGCTTCACACATGCATGTGCCTTCCACACATCTACCCAGCCTTCCGCACATGCGCTTTGCTCACATGTGCGCTTTCCACGCATGCCCCCAGCCTCAAAAACATGGCTAAATAGAACATCTTTACGCTTGGGTCGCCGCTACCAGTTTACTTGAACCGGTCAGAACCAGCTGAATACCACCTCTGATTTAACTGCTTTATTTTTCAATGTTTACTTGAATGTGATACTACCACTTTAAAGTTTAGACTACCCTAATTGCTAATTTTAGTCTAATTTTCTTGCATATGTATAGGTGGAACAAGTATCATAATGTTGTTTTTAATATTGATTTTAGTCAAAATTGTTTGCATGCCTTTGACTCGGTTCTGATATTGTCAATTCGTATTTCCTTTGTGGTGGTTAATGACCTTCCTTCCTTCCTTCCTTCCTTCCTTCCTTCCTTCCTTCCTTCCTCCCTCCCTCCCTGCCTCCCTCCCTCTCTTTCATTTTACCGTTGTCAATAGCTTGGCTTCATGATAGGGGTAAAAATCATTAAAAAACAAAACCCCTTTTTGTCATTTCCAAATAGCCTTTTAATGCATGCTTAGTTTTTCAAGCATTTATGGTTGCCATGGTGGATTTGGCCACTCCCCAATTTAGCCTCATTTATTCAAAGAAAAATTGGTGAGGATTCCCTCCCCCCAATTCCAAACTAAGTATTGAGATTCAGCCACTCAGATTTTATTATTTCGTAAGGATGTTTCCGAAACCATGCAACTTCCAGGAATATTTTTTGAAATGGAGCAAATTTCAGAGGTTAATGATTTGTATTGTGTCAGATTCTACAGTAAAATCACAATAAAAGTTCTACAGAGGAATTATTGAATCTGTCATTTGTACCTCAATAACTGTCTGCTTTGTAACAGCAACCAAACAGGACAGGTACAGACTTCAACTGATAGTTAGAACTGCAGAAAAAACAATCTCAAGCAGCCTGCCTTCCATTGAGGATCTGTATACTGCACGATCCAGAAAGACGGCTGAGAAAATATCTACGGACCCCCTCACATCCTGGACATAATCTGTTTCAACTGATCCCCCTCAGGATATTGCTATATGGCATTGCATGCCAAAACAACTAGACACAAAGATAGATTCCCCACCCCCACCATGCCTTCACTCTGCTATACACTTAATTCCCACAGCAAAGTCTCATTTCTGATCTTTTCTGATCTTTCCTACTATCTTCTCCTATTGGTTTCTTATGATTTATCAATTGTTGTTTGTAACTTATGATTAATGACTGTAAGTATGATTTATGATCTATTACGTGCTGTTTTATGTACACTGCGAGCTTATGCACTGGAGACTAATTCCTTGTGTGTCCAATCACGCTTGGCCAATAAAAAATTCTATTCTATTCTATTCTATTCTATTCTATTCTATTCTATTCTATTCTATTCTATTCTATTCTACTCTACCCTACCCTACCCTACCCTACCCTACCCTACCCTACCCTACCCTACCCTACTCCATTCCATTTATTTAATGTTATGGATTCTTTTAATTTGTATAAGTAGACGGGCTTGGAAGCGTCCACAGATCTCCTAAGTCATCTTCACAAGCCCTCTCTTTTACATCTTGATACTGTCTGGAAAAACCCTCCAGAAAAGGATCCCTGACTTGTACTGTAGCCCCCAAATGAACTTTTTTTTTTAACGGTCCCAACAATTAAGAGAGAGATTCAAATAGCATGGCATTCAAAGGTGCAGGGTTATTAAAAAATAGAATATTATTGGAAGCTGATCCAGGAAAGCTCCAGTTCCTCAGGAGTGACCCCTAGAGGGGGAGACAAGTATCACACAACCCTGTAGACAGCACATGTAGGGACTTTACTCAGTCAGCTCTTGCTGCTGAGATTGTGTGTGTGGCATGTTTTTCCCCTGCTGTGCTACAGATCAGGATGGTTGCACAGCTGCAAGCAAAAAACAAACAAAAAAAGGGCTTCTTTCCAATAGCCTTCCAATCAACGCTTGTCAGAATCCTTACTTTAGAAGGATTTACCTTCTTTCAGATCAACACTTTACCTCTTCTTTCAGATCAGCAATCATGTTTAGATGTTGTGGTTGAATTCTGTGGCATCTGGGATGATTGCTTTAAATGTTCGCAGAATTAGAATTTATCTGTGGTGATCGTTTTTTTTTTACAGGATTATTGACCAAGAAATCTGAGTTGAACACTTTTTGAATAAGCCAAAGAGAAACAATACTATTTCCCTCTCTCTTTAGGACTGTCTACATAGTTCTGTGACCATCACTTGCCCTGTTACAATGAAGAGCATTAAGCAGACCTTGAAAATGAGGAACACCGGTGAATCTGGGATTAGCTCAAGCTGCCTGCCAGGTAAATTATTCATTTATTTATTAGGCCAGTTTATATCACTCAAGCTTCTTTCTGTCCAGTGGTGGGTTTCAAAATTTTTTACTACCAGTTCTGTGGGTGAGGCTTGATGAGTGTGGCATGGCTTGGTGGGCATGGCAGGGGAAGGATACTGTAAAATCTCCATTCCCCCCCCCCACTCCAGCAGAAGGATACTGCAAAATCCCCATTTCCTCCTGATCAGCTGGGAGGCAGAGAATAGACGTGGGCGGGGCCAATCAGAGGTGGTATTTACCAGTTCTCCAAACTACTCAAAATTTCAACTACCGGCTCTCCAGAACTGGTTAGAACCTGCTGAAACTCATCTCTGTTTCTGTCTGATTTTTTTGTCTGTGTATGCCTTTCAGACAATTTTTCACTCTGATAGCTGCTTGGACAAGTCCCTAGTTTTTCTTGGCAAGGCTTTTTAGAAGTGGTCTGCCATTGTCTTCTTCCCAGGGCCTATAAAGCATTAAAACTTCCAGTTTCTAATGCGATGCCTTAAGCACTACATCAAACTGGTTGTTTCCCTTTCATAAATACATAGCTGGAATAAGGTCCTTATTCTATCAAGGAAATATTACAAAAGTAGGCATCAAATAATTAGAGAAGCCTGAAATAGTGTTTTTTAAAAAATAAAAAAAATAGGTAAGTTTATTGGTGGATTCCTCAGACCCTGTTACTGAGTTATAGAGCTGTGGTGGCCTAGTGGTTAGAATGCAGTATTGCAAGCTAACTGTGTCCACTGCCAGAAGTTCGATCCTGACCAGCTCAAGGTTGACTCAGTCTTCCATCCTTCCGAGGTCGGTAAAATGAAGACCCAGATTATTGGGGGCAATATGCTGACTCTAAACCATTTAGAGGGCTGTAAAGCACTGTGAAACGGTATATAAGTCTAAGTGCTATTGCTATTATTTCTGTTAATTCTTCCCCACTCAATTGTTTCTTGGCTGCAAAACTAATTGTATTCTACTTCATATACTAACCGACCAGCTATTAATCAAAGGAAGATTGAGCCCAAACAATGCTCTATTGCAGTGATGCCTAACCTTTTTTCCCTCGGGTGCCAAAAGCATGCACGCACACGCTATCGCACGCATGTGCCCACACCCATAATGCAATGCCCCTCCTGCATGACCCGCCCCTCTGCACATGCGCACAATCCCCCATGTGCACGCGACCCCCGCATATGTGCACGCGACCCCCCCTTTTGGCCTCACATCCCAAAACAGCACTGGGGGTGAAAGCCTTTGCCTCCCAAAATGGCTGGGGGGGAGGGAAAAAAGCCTGGGAAGGCACAGGCAGCAGAAAGTGAAGAGAAAGGTAGATCTCGCCACGCATGCCGCTTGTAGGGTAGACCCGAAAATCAGCTGGCCGTCGGGAAGCGATTGCGCATGCGCAGTGGAGCTGAGCTAGCGACGGCTCGCATGCCCGCAGAGAGGGCTCCGCGTGCCACCTGTGGCATGCATGCCATAGGTTCGCCATTACGGCTCTATTGCCTTGGTAATTTTAAAAATAATTTTAAAAAATAACAGCATTTGAATTTCTTTAAAGAAAAGACACTAAATTGCAGCTACTCTTAATATACTGTGGGATAGGAACCAAGGGGATATTTTCCATGACAATTCATTTCCGAATAGGCTTTCTTCTTCAGATTTATCAGAGAAATAGTACGTTTAGCATAGAGATACATTCATTCATTTATCTATACATACAGAAATGGCAGAATTGACTGAAAAACAAGGAACATCATAGAAAAAGGCAGGGGCAAACCACATGCATGTGGTTTTCCAAGAAAACGGATTACACCCATGCAGTCAACAGCAGTTGTGTTTGTCTTTGAGGCATTTCCTTCCTATACAGGTAGTCCTCGACTTACAACTGTTGTGTCAACATCCTGCTTGAGTATCCAAATAAAAGTCCAAGATCATATCTTTACTCAAAAGCTTACTGTTTATTGAATACATAGCGTGGTAACGGCAAGGTAAAACTAACTCTGAATTTCTCAGGCAACAGTTCACAGTATTAACAGTTCATAGTATGAAGTTCCCAGCCCAACCCCCAGGCTTCCACATAGGCCATGTAAATACTCTAAGTTCTCTTTGTTATGGGAACTGTCTGCCTTCTTCTTCACACCTGTTGATATATCCTTGAAAAGTTTCCAGACTCTCACAAGTTTCAGTGGACTTGTAGAAGTTTCATTTCTCCAACCAACCCATTCGTAATCAAAACCTGCCCCCCTACTCTAATGACAAGTTGAGATGAAGAGGCACGTAGCTGTCAATATTTCACTCTTGACGGTTTTAGTGATGATTCAAAGTTGCAATGGCACTGAAAAAATGGACTTATGGCTGTTTTTCAGTTACGACTTTTGCAGCATCCCCATGATCATGTGATCAAAATTCAGATGATTGGCAACTGGTTCATATTTATGATGGTACAGTAGCTATGTCCCAAGGCCCTGTGATCACCTTTTGTGACCGTCTGATAAAGTCAATGGGGAAGTCAAATTCACTTAACAACAGGATTACTAATTTATCAACCGCAGTGATTCACTTAACAACTGTGGCAAGAAAGGTCGCAAAAATGGAGCAAAACTCACTTGACAAATGTCTCACTTGACAACAGAAAATTTGGGCTCAATTGTGTGGTCGTAAGTCGAGGACTACCTATATAGAGCTTCGGGATCATTTGCAGAGGAAAAGGAATCAACTGGGCCGATATTAAAAATATTCCATTTTTGGCTTGACATTGTAGAAACGGGGAGCAGCGCGAATTCAACCACCTCCTTGCAACGGAAGAATTCAGAAAGCAGAACGTGTCGAGCTGTGTATGATTACCATGCAGAAAGAGAGGACGAGCTTTGCTTAAGTAAAGGTAACATTTACTCATCCTAATCTCAATAGAATTTAGGTGGGGGGAAGAGAGTTGGAAATCAATACAATGCTAATCCCTTTCGACTATTGTAATGGAAAATCAATGGGTGCCATCCCATACATTTTTTTTAATGAAGAGGACCCATTAACATGTAATAGAACTATTTGGGGTCCTCTGGCATGGTTGGCCAGATTCAACTTATCATAGTTGATTTGTTATTCAGAGCTTTTTTCTCTTTGTGAGGCTCTTCAGTATTCCTACTGGGCAGTATTCTCAAGGCAGCTGCCCGTGTTTTTAATTCCCCTTATTGGATGCTAAAAATGAAAGTGGAGAAAGACTTGAAGAGGTAACCAAGTCTGCCCAGTACTCGTCTGCCTAAAATTCTGAAAGTTTGTGTCATTTCAGAACGTTGTTCTGTCTAGGCCCCTGGATAATTGTTTCAGAATGTAACAAGAGAAAGATATGCGATTAGAATTACTTTGATGAGAAAACTCGGGGTAGGAGCTAATCATGCAAATACCGTGTTTCTCCAAAAAGAAGGTTGGGTCTTATTTTCATTTAAGCCCTGAAAAAACGGCTAGGCCTCCTTTTTGGAGGGTTCTAATTATTGACTCAAGTCGCAGGGGTGGCACCGACAGCCCTGCCCAGCAGGAGCCACTGTTGGCCCACTTCTGCAGCCGCTTGACGCCATTCACATGCATCGCCCTGGCTTGTTTTGCTTTCAGATGCCTGCCGGAAGGCATCTGCAGCTGATAACAGAGCTCCGGATTGATCCAGAGCTCTGTTATCGGCTGCAGTGCCTTCCGGCAGGCATCTGAAAGCAATACGGAGGCCAGGGCGACATGTGCAAGTGATGGCTAGCGGCCGCAGAAGGCAAGGCAGGTGTCAGGGTGTGCGAGGCCTGGTAAGTAGGGCAGCTCCACCCCCAAATCCCCACACTAGCTTATTTTTTACCTGTGTGCCTCGCCCCACTCCCTGCATCCTGGGGTGGGCAGGGTCTTAATTAGGGCTAATTTTGTGGGTGGGGCTTAATTTGATCGCATGCGCTCAAAAACGTGATACAGCTTCTTTTCAAGGTGGGTCACCTTTTTGGAGAAACACAGTATATATTTTTTAACGAAACTAATCTGGTAAAGGTTTCAATCCTGCCTAAGTGTACCTGTGTGCCTCAAATAATAGTAATTATCTCAATAATAAATGGACTGAGAAAATACAGGTTTAAAACAGCTGTCCTAAGATGGCCAAATTAAAACTCAAGAGAAAAACATTGTGGCTTCCTTATTATAATTACATGGAATATTTAAATATTATATAATCACCACTACTTGAACATTTTTGCGGATGTTCATTAATCAAACAGCTTGGAGAAAAAAAAAAAAGATAGAAATCTATGCATAAAGAAACCTGCTAGGGATTTAAGAAACTTGAGCTGATGTTGCAAAAGGACCGGCCTACAACTAAAGGCTATTAAAAGCAACAGCCTGTATCTTGGGATAGAGCTTTAGAAATCAAGCTTGTTATAAATTGGTTCAGAGATGTGGCTCCTGATTAAGTTAAGCAAAAGTGTGGTTGCTATGATCCAGAGGAATGGAATGAACTTCATTCAGAATTCGAAGAGAGCATCACTTTTCGTAACCCAGCTTTAGCTCTGGAAGTTGTCACTCTTGATTCTTCTTCCTACCTACATGCAAGATGCACTTAAGAGTAGGTGCCTTGTGTGAAAGCCTGTAGAGTAGGGGTGTCAAACTCAATTTCATTGAGGGCTGCATCAGGGCTGTGGTTGACTTCGGGGGGCGGGGGGTTGGGTGGTGTGGCCAGCTTGATGCCACTCACTGGGTGTGGCTGACTGGGTGGGCGTAGCCAGCATGACATCACTCTGCAAATTGCTGGCATGTTTCCTCTTTGCACTGGGTAGACCAGGCCGAAGCCACCCTGGCCCAATGTCTCCTCTTTGCACTGGGTAGACGGGCCGAAGCCACCCTGGCCCAATGTCTCCTCTTTGCACTGGGTAGACCGGGCCGAAGTACCCTGACCCAGTGTCTCCTCTTTGCACTGGGTAGACCGGGCCGAAGCCACCCTGGCCCAATGTCTCCTCTTTGCACTGGGTAGACCGGGCCGAAGCCATCCTGGCCCAATGTCTCCTCTTTGCACTGGGTAGACCGGGCCGAAGCCATCCTGGCCCAATGTCTCCTCTTTGCGGGTAGACCGGGCCGAAGCCACCCTGGCCCAATGTCTCCTCTTTGCACTGGGTAGACCGGGCCGAAGCTACCCTGACCCAGTGTCTCCTCTTTGCACTGGGTAGACCAGGCCGAAGCCACCCTGGCCAATGTCTCCTCTTTGCACTGGGTAGACCGGGCCGAAGCTACCCTGACCCAGTGTCTCCTCTTTGCACTGGGTAGACCGGGCCGAAGCCACCCTGGCCAATGTCTCCTCTTTGCACTGGGTAGACCGGGCCGAAGCCATCCTGGCCCAATGTCTCCTCTTTGCACTGGGTAGACGGGCCGAAGCCACCCTGGCCCAATGTCTCCTCTTTGCACTGGGTAGACCGGGCCGAAAGCCACCCTGGCCCAATGTCTCCTCTTTGCACTGGGTAGACCGGGCCAAATGTCTCCGCTTTGCACTGGGGTAGACCGGACTGAAGCCATCCTGGCCCAATGTCTCCTCTTTGAACTGGGGTAGACCAGGCCGAAGCCATCCTGGCCCAATGTCTCCTCTTTGCACTGGGTAGTCCAGGCCGAAGCCATGCCGGCCCGATGTTTCTTCTTTGCATTGGGTAGACCAGGCCGAAGCGATGCGAGTAGACCAGGACAGCCACATTGCAGGCCGAATCCGGCCCATGGGCCTTGTGTTTGATACCCCTGCTGAAGGGCTTCTATACATCTGTCTTGCATTGGTAGGTAGATATTGTCCCATGCGTTCGATTAAATGACACAACATAATTAAGTCAATATTAACTTGCTTGTATTATCCTTTCAGGCGATGTAATTGTAATTCATCACAAAGACAAGAGTGGCTGGTGGTACGGTTCTAGAAAGGGGGAAAGAGGCAATTTTCCTGCTACATATGTGGAAGAAGTCACTCTGTCGACCGACAGGAGAGACGAAGAACCTTCTCTTTAAAACAAAAGGAAAAATAATCAGCCCAACATGGATAACAAATCCAACAGACATGTTTCTATGCTCGGAACAGAAGCCAAAGAATAATCTTCTTTATTTATAAGAAGCTCTGAAACAGATATTTGGTGAATTAGCATTGGAACAAAACAATTAGAGACAACTTCCATTGAATCCCTTTTAAATGATACTAACTCTTAAATTATTACGTTAACCAGTCATTTAATGAATTGTTGGGAGATCTTTGCGATACAATGAAAGGGAAGCTGACATTTATTTCTGAAATAGAAGAGGAAGTCAATTTACCATAGATCATTCATAAATGGAATTGGCACCACGTAATCAAATTCTACACAATGTTTCCCCCCCCCCCCCAGACTCATAAGACTTTAGAAGGACATGAAGATAATAGCATTCCCTATGGCAAGGCTGAGCAAACCAGAAATTTGTTCTGCCAGAAGATACAAGACTTCCAATTTTCAAATATATCCCCTTGAGGGGATCCTAAGATTATTGTTTTGTTGCATAGTGAGGTAGGACAATCATCCAACAGATGACTGGTTACTATTTCCTAATTCTATTAAGTTATAGTTAGATATGTTACATTTGAAACCTATTCTTCTTTCAAGAGTTATGTGCAGCACACCTGGTTTTCAACCTAGGCCTATTTTGTTCTCACAACCACCATCTAAGCCCAGGTTACATTAAAAAAAAACAAAAAAAAAAAACACCTCAAAATAAGAACGAAGATCTGGAGCTAAGTTTTCACAGTCATTGTCCAAGGCCCTCAAGTTGTTCCAAGACTTTTATTCTTCCCAAGTATGAAGTGACAAAACATGTAGGGCAGATTTAGAGAATAAGCAGTGCTTTATTTGTAGGTCAACGCAATGAAGGCTTTTCTAACATTGGCAATAAACGCAGAGAAATTGTTGGTTTCTCTCACTTTCTGCTGCAGTTCTTCTGTGCAGTCCAAGGGAGGAGAACAAGAGACCACTAGGAAAAAGCAGTGAATTATGTTCTTTTAAAAAATTGAAAATGAGACATCCTAACATGCAGTGGTGAAATCTTCCCCAGTTTGCTGCCCGCGCATGCATAGTGCTCACACATGCGCACCAAATCATGCTGTGGACACATGCACAATACACACCAAATGTGCGCTTTGCGTGGAAAAAGAAGGCTTGGGAAGGTAAGTAGATTTTAAATCGCGTGGCACAGCTGATCGTTGGAAATACCGGTTCAGAGGAACCGGTAGCTTTTTTTAACTTATCAGTTCGCCTGAACTGGTAGTTTTTATCACTACCGGTTCACCCGAACCGATGCGAACCAGTAGCATTTCACCATTGCTAACATGATATATTTCATTTGGACACACAAAAGTCAGAAAGGGACATAGCAAAGAATATCCTGCATTCACTTCTCATAATTTTCTCTCTCAACGTAAGGCCAGGAAACACATCTGTGGGCAGTTGGATGCTGGCTTCATGTTATCAGCTATCTCTTATACTATAAGTGATTGTGAAAGTTTTAAATCTTCTTGATGCTTTTATTAATATATATATATATATATATATTACTCTATTTTGGGTTTGTTTTACTATAAACTGTTTGGGAATTTTTAATAAACGAGTCAATACATTCTAAGAAGACTGAGCTATCTTTTACATTACTTCTCCCAGCTGCTAGATAAGTGGCCATTAATAGCAATAGTACTTAGACTTATATACCGCTCACAGCCCTCTCTAAGCAGTTTTACAAAGTCAGCCTATTGCCCCCAACAATCTGGATCCTCATTTTACCCACCTCGGAAGGATGGAGAACTGAGTAAACCTTGAGCCTGGTAAGATTCGATCTGCCAAATTTCAGGCAGCTGGCAGTCAGCAGAAGCAGCCTGCAGTACTGCATTCTAACCACCTCGGCTCTTTGCAAAGCAGAAGAGAATGGATAGCTACAAGAACGACCGTGCAAATCAGAGAAGTTCTCGGATGGTGACTGTCCTTCAGAAGAGGACTTCTTTTCTATTCACCCCTCTGGAGGGGCCCTTGAAGTAGCCACCCTAGAAGATCCTAAGGATGCCATCACCTTGATGCTTTGCTGGCAGCACTGCCCCATCCAGCACACCCTTTCCCATCATCATCCTCTTTTAACGACCCCATAATCCCTTGCAGGGTGGAGTCCTGGCAACTGAATGGAGCGGAGTGTTTACTGGCCAGATGCTCTTCCTGTCGCCAATGCAGAGTTTTATTCAGCAGATACATTCTCCGTGCAGCACACCCTTTTCCATGATTCACATAATCCCAGTGCCTCTGCACTATTGTACGGGATGGTCCTTGTTTTATGACCGTTCATTCAATTGACTGTTTTTTTAAAATTTGATTTATATGCCGCCCTTCTCCGGAGACTCAGGGTGGCTTACAATGCGTTAAGCAATAGCCTTCATCCTTTTGTATATTTATACAAAGTCAGCTTATTGCCCCCACAAACTGGGTCCTCAATTTACCCACCTTAGAAAGGATGGAAGGCTGAGTCGACCTGTTTGAAATAACAACTACCACTGCTCAAGGTTAGGGCCATTGCAGTGCCCCCCGGTCATGTGATTGCAATCTGGGCTCTTTGGGGACGCGTTCACACTTACGATGGATTGCCAAGCCCTCCACGATCACGTGATTGCCATTTGCAACCTTCCCTGCTGGCTTCTTCAGAAAGTCAACAGGGAAGCTTGCAGGGAAATTTCATTTCTCTACGCAGCGTGCTGCCTCCCTTTCCCTGACCCATGCTAGAGAGAAGGCTTTCTTTCTAGCCCGGGGAAGGCAGGGCAGGGATGTGCTGTGCAGAGGGCGGAACAAAGCCAGAACAGCTTTGCTCCTCTGCACAGTGCCCCGCTACTCCCTCCCCACTCTCAGCCAGAGAGAAAGAGAAAGAAAGTCTAATGCATGGCGAGGAGGGGAGCCAGCGTGCTGGACCAGAGAAAGAAAGTGCAGATCATTTGAGATCCAAGCCCTTTTTTTCTCTGGCTTAATGCACCGTTTCTGTGTAACAGAGAGGGTCTGCCTGACCTCTTTTGGCAGGCATCTCTTTTGTTCCATTTGTTTAATGACCTAGAACAGTGATAGCGAACATTTTCGGCACAAAGTACCCATACCAGAACATGTGCATATATGCGTGCACATCGGAGCACCGGAAACCGGTGCGCATGCATGCATCGGCCACCTGGTCTTTGGATTTCCGACGCACACATATGTGCTGACCAGCTGGTCTTTGGGTTTCCGCGCTCCAGCACACGTGAAGACCAGCTGACATGCCAGAAACCACAAGAGCAGCTGGCGACGGCGTGCATGCCACCTCTGGCACGTGTGCCATAGGTTCGCCATCACGGACCTAGAACAACCACACCTGGGAGGGCAGGAACAGTAGTCACTGAGCAAGGTGATTGCATGGGTGCCTCACTTAACGACTACAATGACTTATGACTGTAATGGGCAGGATCCATTACGGTCGTTACTCCGGGACTACCTGTAAAACCCAACTGCCGCTTCAGTTGGTAAAAAAAATGAGGAGCAAACCTTCAAAGCCACACAGGTCTTCTTCAAGCAGGAACGAGATAAGAAATCAGGACAGATCTCACGAAAAGCTGCCAAAACAAAAGTCTGAAATTTTTTTAAGCCACTGTGGCACAGTGGTTAGAGTGCAGTATTTGCAGGCTACTTCTGCTGCCTGCCTGCAATTTGGCAGTTCAAATCTCACCAGGCTCAAGGTTGACTCAGCCTTTCATCCTTCCGAGATGGGTAAAATGAGGACCCAGATTGTTGGGGGCAATAGGCTGACTCTGTAAAGCGCTTAGAGAGGGCTGTAAAGCACTGTTAAGCGGTATATAAGTCTAGATGCTATTGCTAAGCCCAGCCTTCATTAGAGAGAAGGCAGGGAAGTTTTGGAACATGGGACATAATATAACCTGACCTACAGACTAGTAAATTGTTACTAGTCCTTAGGGGGGAAAAAAAGCATGGAAAAAACCAGAAGTTACCAAGAGAAATATATAAAAATGGATGGAAAATCTGAACTACAACCGTAAAATAATCATTTCAATACTGAAGGCTTTTTTTAAGTCGAATGAAAAAGTGATGAGAACAAACAGGTGTGAGCTTATTTTGATATAAAGGAAATAGGAAAATAAGACATGGTTGTGTACATACCTTCGTAAGCTCCCTCTTCATTTATGGAAAGAGTAAGTATGTACGGCTTTTGGAAATCTTTATGATCAATGCAGCGGAATACAAATTGCAAATGCTTATCTAGATGCCGAAATAAGGATGCATTAAATCTCAGGAATGCCAGATAAAAATGTATATATTTCAGTTGTACTGCCATTTTATAAAGTCTTAGATTCTTTTATTCTCACATTTTAAGAAATTACTAGCAATGAGTGTCTAAACAGTGCAGCGAATGGTGTGGAAAATGGCAAACTGTTTCCCCGGGAAGCTTTGACCAATCACGACTCCTGGTTTATTTGCAGAGACTTATTTCTACTTGGAGAAAAGCTCCCCTGGATCCAAATAATCATTTACAAAGGATCAGTAGGAACACACATAATGCATGATTGGGCTATTGTGCGCTGAAGGTTTTTTTTTTTTTTAAAACAAACCCTAACCCTGAATAATCTTGGGACCAAAATAGTAACGCTTTAACTGCAGTTTTCAGAAATTCCCTTTAAAGAAGAACAGATGGGTTCAACATGTTTGCTCTTTTCTCTGTGTGTGCATACAGAAATAAATGGATGCGAACTGATTGCCTTTAATGAAGGACAGGCAACCCAAAGCCCACATATGGCCACTATTCCTTTGGAAACAATTTTCTTAAGGCCATTTTCTAAGATTTTAAAGATGGAAATGTGAACTGCTTGTCTTTCCCGGGGTTTCCGACTCCCGTGTCTATTCTTTAGAGCAAGGGGAGAAAAAGCCATTTGAAGGGATACAACAGAAGGGAAGCCTTGATAGCACAGTGGTTTAAAGCACCCTGTTATTACCACAGCTGCCTACAATTACTGCTGGTTCGAATCTCTCCAAGGCTCAAGGTTGACTCAGCCTTCCATCCTTTCTAAGGTAGGCAAATTGAGGACCCAGTTTGTGGGGGCAATAAGCTGACTTTGTATAAATATACAAAAGTATGAAGGCTATTGCTTAACGCATTGTAAACCGCCCTGAGTCTTCAGAGAAGGGCGGCATATAAATCAAATTAAAAAAAAAAAAAAGTTGGGTATTTAGGAAGCTGTAACAGACATAGACACTTGCATGTGCTTTCCAGTCCTTTTAGAGGATAGGCAGAAGATAGATGAGCATCCCATTCCAATAAGTCTCTTGATAATATAGTTGAAGGTTTTATCAGCAATAAAAGCCCTGGCCAAAAGCTTGAGGGCAAAGCTAGGGTGTATAACTGTCACACAAAATAGCTAATATAAGTGTGACTGGACTCCCAAGCTCAGTTCTAATACTGTAAACCATTTTTTTTCAACGAGGGTATGCTCAGAGGGATTCTTGATTCCTGGGAAATATTTTATTCCCTATGAAATCATCTGGTGTGGGGTTAATTTTTTAGACTCCATGGTTCTGATAATAGTAAATAGCAGGGTGGATTTGATTTAAACCAAGTCGATTTAATTCACGATTTAAATCATGATTTAAATCACTTGTAAAAAGGCTTGATTTAAATCAACTCGATTGAAATCAGAATTTTTAAAGAGCAACTGTCATCTCTGACCTGCTGTTGACTCACCGACAGTCTCAATATTGCAGAATATACAGCCTCCTGCTACAGAACTAAGCTCCAGTTCATGCTGAATAAACTAAATTATTAACGTATCTTAAATAGAAAACTATCTTTAGATAGATTTTTACTCCAAAAGCATTTTATTAAAATAAATTTGATTAAAAAAAAAATAGATAAAAAAATGCGATTTTTTTTTTAATCATCGATTTTTATCCACCCTGGTAAATAGCACTTTTAAAAACTTAAGACGTTACGAAGGTTCTTACTGGAGTTCAGGCAGATCAGAGCTCAGTAAGGACATGGCGCTGAATATTTGTTCACAGGCTTGCAAAACCTTTTGTTACACAAAAACCCTTGTGAGGAAAAATAACTGAGACCACTTAGCACACAGAAAGGTTCTACTCACTCGTGAAAAGCATTATCCTTAGGGGTATTGTAGGAAGAGAACCGTGTTAAGTCTGTGAGGCAAAAACGTAAGGAATCTGGTAGCAGCTTTTTCAGGAGCCGTGGTGGCGCAGTGGTTAGAATGCAATATTGCAGGCTAATTCTGCTGACTGCCAACTGCCAGCAATTTGAGTCTCACCGGTTCAAGGTTGACTCAGCCTTCCATCCTTCCGAGGTGGGTAAAATGAGGACCCGGATTGTTGGGAGCAATACGTTGACTCTGTAAACAGCTCAGGGAGAGCTGTAAAGCACTGTGAAGCGGTATATAAGTTTAAGTGCTCATGCTATTGGTACCCAATTTTATGGAAAGGGAAATTTTCAAGATATGCAAAAGGTATTGTTTTGGAGATGAAGCATTCCCTTTAATTATGCTCATGTCTTAGAGATCCTTCCGTTTTCCATAAACCAAAGGACAGAACTGGCATTTCTGATAGTCACACGGCTTCATAGTGTTTTCAATACGGTGTTGCTTAGAGCCCTATGGCTCCCTATGCAAATGGTGCCACCTGCATAGCCTGAATTATTACGGTAATTAATTGGAAATCACATGCTAACTGGGATTGAAGCAAGCAATGAGTGGGGCAAAACCTGAAGTGGACAACGATCCCTACTCTGCTTGTCCCCCATTTTTAACAGACCTCTTCCTCTTTCATTCATTTCCTGAAATGGTCAAGCAATAGGATGAAGACAAGGGTTACTGGAGGGCTGAGCTGGCCTTTAACAGAGAGCTTTTAAAATGAGGCTGAGCAGGCAGTGATGCGCTGCACAGACAAGAGATCGTTGAATGCAAGAATATTTCCCCCTGCAGAAACCTTTGGCAACATTGCAAATCTGCATGGAAAAATGGCGCAACTTTTCGGCACCAAGTGCCCAAACCGGAATGCATGTGCATGTGTGTGTGTGCGGGCGCCGGAAATCCGAAGACCAGCTGGCCGGCATGTGCATGCCTATTCTTTGGCCATTTTTGGGGCCATTTTCAGCCAGTTTTGGCCCGAAAATGGCCCAAAACTGGCCTGAAAACGACCTGGTTTTGGGCCATTTTGGGGGCCATTTTCAGGCTGTTTTCTGGTGCTCCGACATCTGCGAAGTCCAGCTGGCTGGCATGCATGTGCGTGCTGGAAACCAGAAGAGCAGCTGGCGACAGCCCGTGTGTCCACAGAGAGGGCTCTGCGTGCCACCTCTGACACACGTGCCACAGGTTCGCCATCACGGTTAGCACAGCAGTAATAATCATCAGCTTTGTAGGAGAAAAGTAAATGAATGGATTTTGCTATAAAATGTAATGTCAGCCATTCTGAAGTAGAAATGCAAGCGTCAATCTTACCGCATGTTTTTCGTATTTCTAACCCAAGCCTCTCTTTGAATAATTTTTCAGCCTTAAGAAGTCTTTCCTCCGTTTCTTCTGCTTTTTTATGCTTTGCTAGAATTTAAAAGAGAAACAAAGCTTCAAAATCTCCGCTGAGCTTAGGCCCAGGTTCATTTTTTTTTTAGTAAACTGATAAGTTTATGAAATCAAGCACCTGTTTTTTCAGCATTAGTACCTGACTTTTTCAAGACAATAACCATTTATTTTAAAATATCACCCAATTTATCATTTGCTGTTCCTTTAGTGGGCTATCTAGGTTAGATTGCATTTGTGTGAACTCCCTGTAATTCTGGGATCATGTAATGCTCTTTAGTTTCTGAGTTTTGGGGGAAAGAAACATCACAATAGACACTCAGTTCACTGCTGGAAGAACAAATCCAATCAAACATGGATAATAACCTTTATTAGGATTTATGTCAGTCCTAGAGAGGATCAACCCTGACTGCTCTTTAGAAGGCCAGATCCTGAAGATGAAACTCAAATACTTTGGCCACTTAATGAGAAGGAAGGACTCACTGGAGAAGAGCCTAATGCTGGGAAAGATTGAGGGCAAAAGAAGAACGGGACGACAGAGAACGAGGTGGCTGGATGGAGTCACTGAAGCAGTTGGCATGAGCTTAAATGGACTCCAGAGGATGGTAGAGGACAGGAAGGCCTGGAGGAATGTTGTCCATGGGGTTGCGATGGGTCGGACACGACTTTGCAACTAATAACAAAGATTTATTTGGTAGCGGTAAGAGCAACAAAGCAGACTCGCTTCTCTGTTCTTTATTGCATCTACAAATAGAAACTGGTAGCCCTGTTTCTGGTAACCAGATCCCTCCCCTGGGAGGGGATGGAGAAGCCCTTGCAGGGTTACTAAGAGGCTACTTTGTGGGACGAAGTTGCTCAGATCTACTGTACTGCTGGACAGGTTCTACGAAAGGGACAGATATCTGGGATGAGTTTGGGATGAATTTCAGACCCAGTTAGCTCTGAGGAACTGGACAAGGTCTTCGGAGCTACGAGTTCTACTACCTGCGATTCATATCTGTTTCCTTCCTGGTTGGTCAAGGCCAGCTAGGAGATGGCTTATAGTTGGGTCCAAGTGGGGGTTGAATGCTTCTTTATAGGATAGGGTTTTTTTGGAAGGTGACAGTGGTCTGTTCCCTCTGTTTAAGACACTGTCCTGGGACCCAACATTACTGGGCAATTTTCATCCAGTTTCCAACCTTTTCTTTTTAAGGGACAATTGTGGAATAAGTGGTAGGTGCATAACTTCTGTAGACTCTGGAAAAGGCAAATTATCTAGACCTTTCCAATCAGGAGTCAGACCAGGTAGTGATTGTGCTCGTGGATAACCTTGATGCATCTATCCTGGTCCTTCTAGTTCTGGGGTATCAAACTTGATTTTGTTTGAGGGCTGCATCAGGGTTGTGTTTGACCTTGGGGGACCAGGGTGGGCGTGGCCAGCTTGACATCACTCGTTGGGGAGCCTGTGGTGGCACGAGCACTCTGCCACTGAAAATGGGCTCCCGAGCTCCATTTTTGGCTGCGACGGCTTCCTGCAATCCTCTGCCATTGAAAACGGAGCTCAGGAGGGCCACCTGCTTTATTGGCAAAGGCCCAGTGGGCCGGTCCTTTGCTGTTTCCAGGGTGGCCTCGCGGACCAGATCTAAGCACCCCGCAGGCCTGATTCATCCCCAGGGCCTTGAGTTTGACACCCCTATTCTAGATCTTTTGCTGGCTTTCAGTACCCTTGGCCATCGTATCCTTCTGGACCAGCTTCAGGGGCTGGGATGAAGGCCCTGTCTCCTTTCTCCAGTGTTAGTTTCAGCCAGCATTGATAGGGGAAAAGATCTAGCTTTTATGTGGGATGCCACAGAACTCATCTTTCTTCTCACTCCTACATCTGGGTGAGGTCATCAGTTGGCACAGAGTGAAATACCATTAATATGCTGATACCCAGCTGTAAGAGTCCGAATGAGAGAGAGAGACCAGGTTACAGCACAATCCTGGCAAGACTAAGGGGCTTGAAGTTTATGAGCTGCTGGATATGGTGGTTCTTCATCAAGTATCATTGAACATGTATGTTTACTTCCAACTGTACAGACTTAGCTTGGAAAGCCCATTAAGATTAAGGCATCTTCATCTAAGAGACGTGGTGGCGCAGTGGTTAGAATGCAGTACTGCAGGCTAACTCACTGTTCACTGCTAAGAGTTCGATCCTGACCAGCTCAAGATTGACTCAGCCTTCCATCCTTCCGAGGTCGGTAAAATGAATTGCTGGGGGCAAAAGGCTGACTCTGTAAACTGCTTATAGAGGGTTGAAAACCACTATGAAGCGGATATATCGGTCTACATGCTATTGCTATCTAAAATCAAATATTTCACTTTTCATTTAAAACTGCAGGTAATTTTGCAAAGCAAGCTTTGTAAATGAGACGTGAATATAAAATACATACAAGGAAGAGAAATGAGGTAATTTTTGCCTGATTATTTTCTCCATGCTTTTACCCCTATTTGACTGTGCTCTTTGGAGCCATTTCATAGGGCTAAGTAAAGCATTCAAGAAGCACCAAATTAGCATACAGAGCAAGGATAAAAAAACCGCATAACTGAATTAACTTGTATTATTTATTTCACTATGGGGAGAAAAAATGTTCATGTGGGAAACCTAACATCATCATCTTCTTTTAAAGACCCTGTAATCCCTTGTGGGGTGGAGTCTTGGGCAACTGAATGGAGCTGAGTATTTACCGGCCGGATGCCCTTCCTGTCGCCAATGCGAAGATTGTTTCAGCAGATAAATTCTCATCATGCACACAGAGAGAAATATCTGCTCTACCTAGGATCAAACTCACAGCCTCCTGATTGTGAGGCAAGAGCTCCACCTCTAGGCCACCACACCACTCGTGGGAAACCTAAAATGGAGGTTCCAAATTGACTTTGTTGAAATGGAATGGCCAGCTCCAGCATCTCCCGAATCATTAGCACAGCTGCTTTTACATTGTGGGTGAGCCAGTTGATGTTTTTTAATTTTTATTTGGTGTGCGTTGGAAGAGGGGTAGTCTTATACGGTGAGTATAGCCCAAATCCTATATTTTAACAGGAAAAGTCGGGGGTCGTCTTATACGCCCAGTCGTCTTATACGCCGGAAAATATGGTATTCATGTTCCATTTCCCCAGTGCAACTTACATTTACTGTTTTGGATTAATTCTTCCTTCAGCTCTTGAATGCTGTTCATCAAGTCTGTCTTCTCCTTTTCCTCGTCCGTAATTTTAGAAAGAGCTGTTGAGATTTTAGCTTGCTTTTCTTCGATTGATTTATTCAACACACAGACTTCTGTAAGAAACAGAGAAAACTGGCTGCATATTTTTTTAAATGCAAAAGCTATTTACTTAGGTTTACCCCTCAGTAATTTGGGCAATATAGATTACTCAATAAAACATTTAAAAAGTTAAACATAATCTGTTGGAAAGATGCTGTGACATACACTGCATAAATATGATAAAATAAATATTTAAGGCTATTTTACTTGAGAATGTTTTCTGTTTATGTATTGCATGTGTTAGATATTAACTGCTATCCTTGCCACTAAATATTAAAAAATAAAATATAACATTAAATGCAACACCCACATAAAATATGAAGAAAACAAAACTGTTTTAGTAAACTACATAGCCTTGGATGACACCATAGCCTTCCATTCTTCCGAGGTCGGTAAAAATGAGGACCAGATTGTTGGGGGCAATATGCTGACTCTGTAAACCACTTAGAAAAGCACCCTGAAGCGATATATAAGTCTAAGTGCTATTGCTATATTTACAGTACAACACATTCTTATTAATATTTGGATGAGAAAGCACCAGGCAGAGGCAGGACTGCAAACTAGGCTGGGATGAAAAAGAAAATCCAGAAGAAAGCTATGGAAAGCAATTTCATACTATTATTGAGAAAACTACATATGTAGGCCCCAGAAGCCAAACCCAGGTCATGGAAGATTTTACATTTAGTCCCAATCCAACAGAAATACAAATTCCCATAAAACTGGCACCTTCATCATCTTAATATTATACAATGTATATTATCCAAACAGTTTGGTTCATGAACATTTGAGAGGAAAGGAACAGAAGAAGCATTACTGACAATGCAATGGTTATCCTGAAGTTCATAACTATACTTCTTTACAATTAAATATGTGTTATTATTGTATAACACAACTGGAAGTTAGATCAAGGTTTGGCTTATCCGAACAGCATTCAGCAGTTTACTTTTATAGAAAAGGTGGCCCAGACATTATTTTTCAGGATAGCAGGGTGGATAAAAATCAATGATTTTTTTAAAAAAATCAGATTTTTTTAATTTAAATCGGATTTTTTTTATTTTTATCGAATTTATTTTAATAAAAAACTTTTGGGGTAAAAATCTATCGTAAGATAGTTTTCTATTTAAGATACATAAATAATTTAGTTTATTCAGCATGAAATGGAGCTTAGTTATGTAGCATGAGGCTGTATATTCTGCAACACTGGGACTATCGGTGAGTCAACAGTGGGTCAAAGGAGTAGCAGAGATGACAGTTGCTCTTTAAAAATTATAATTTAAATCAAGTTGATTTAAATCAAGCCTTTTTACTAGTGATTTAAATCATGATTTAAATTGTGATTTAAATCAACTTGATTTAAATCAAATCCAGCCTGCAGGATAGACATCAATACTGAATAAAATAATATATATTTTTCAGGGATTCTACTTTGTCTATTAGCTTCTGTAAAATGATTGTAAGCAAATGATTCATACTGTACCATTGGTGTACTCATGAAATTTGTTGATAATTTCATCCCCTTCTTTCAGTCTTTTAGACCATTTATCTATAATGTAAAAAACAAAATCAAAACTCAGCCAGAAACTATTGTTTTTATTTTATGTGATGTATTTTTATTTGTTTTACAGGTAGCCCTCGAGTTATGACCACAACTGAGCCCAAAATTTCCATTGCTAAGGAAGACAGTTGTTAAATGAATGTTGCCATTTTATGACCTTTCCTGCTGCAGTTGTTAAATGAATTGCTACAGTTGTTAAGTTACTAATATAGCTAAGTGAATGTAGCCTCTTCATTGACTTTGCTTGTCAGAAGATTGTAAAAAGTGATCACATGACCCTGGGATCCTGCAACCATCATAAATATATGGTGCCAATTGCCAAGTGTCCTAATTCCGAATCCAAATCAGGTAACCTTGGGGATGCGGCAATGGTCATAGGTGTGAAAAACAGTCATAAGTCACTTTTTTCAGTGCTGGTGACTAAATGGATGGTTATAAGTCAAGGACTACCTGTATTATAAGCTGCCTAGTGTCTTGCAAAAGTGAGATGTACATCTATATAAGGTAAATAATGATTGATACTAGGTTAAATCGTATACAAAGCAGTGAAAAGATATAAATTCACCCTCCTGAGAAAGGTGGGATATAAATCTAATCAGTAAAATCACCAACAAACTTCATATTCAGATGAAACTCTCCCCAATATATTGAGATGGAAAAAAAGGAAAATATCATATATAGTTTAGGTCAGGTATATCTAAGCCATGGCTCTCATGTGGTCCTGGACATCTAATAATGTGGTCCCACAAGATTTTATTTAAAATATTAAAAAAATAAAGGACACTTGTTATTTATATACATTAACTACATTGTGTATTTTATATGTGGCCCAAGAAAATTGCGCTTCACTCAATGTGGCCCAGGCAAGCCAAAAGGTTGGACAGGCCTGGTTTAGATACTTTAAATATCGCTCTTCTTTTCCATGGTCAGCCTACCCCAATTGATTACAAAGCTAGAAGGGGGAATGAAGAATATACTGAATGAAGAAAATAATAAAGCAGATATAATTTTACCTGAAAGACTGTTTATGGATTCATACCACGAGTCTCTTAGCCCCAAAACCTGATCAATAGGTCCATGGCAACAAATAGTTTTGAACTTTGTCCAAAATTCTTTGATGTCTTTTTCAAGCATTGCCAGCTCATCATTATCATCTTTCATCTCAGCCATCATTCTAAGAAGAAATAGCAAATAGCAAAAATGAAATAACTTCTTTAATTCCAGCTTAAGGACAGTTTTGCAATAGAATACCGCTGTTACTAGTCCACCAGGCTATTACATTTAAAAATACCAGGCATTCAAATCGTTTAAGGTGGAGACCCGAGTATTATTCTGCATAATGTTTATACACTAAACACCCTCCAACTTAAAACCTCCTGAAAATTTTGATCCTGAACCACAGAGACAGAAAACCAAGATTTATGCACACATCAAACATGAATTTTATGAAACGGGACAACCACCTAATTCTCTTTCAATAGATAAACTTCCCTTTGCAAAAAGCCCTTGATAAAGCTTAGTAGCAAGAATTTCCCAAAATATTTTTTTTAGCGTTTCTACTTTTGTCTCCCTAGAATTATCAAGCGAATTACCAATGTTGGTCTTCATTTAAAAAAAAATGTTTCTGGACAAAGACGGTCAGAGAGAGACGGATAGACAGACAAACACACAAAAACAACCGCATCCCCATGGTTTACCTTTCAGACTTTTCTCGACATTCAAAATCTCAACCCCTTTCCCGCCCGGCCCTCAAAGATCGTCTTCCCGTATGATTGGCTGAGCGAGAGCGCCAACGGGACTCGCCATTGGCTCCCGTGGCAGAGGAAGGTCAAACGCTCGGATTCTCTTTTTTTTTTTCTATTGAGCCGGAGAGATGAGGAAGCGGGGCATGATGGGAGTTGTAGTTTAAAAGCTTTTGCCTGCGAGGCGGTTCTGAAACTTGGCGCTCGCTGGAATGATGAAAAGGAGCAGGGAACGACAGTGAAAGTGACAGCTTTTTGACAGAAATCCTCTGCCCGCGGCTGTGCATCAAGGGTTGCTTCCTCCCACCGACCCACCCCGCCGCACCCTCTTTCTTTTCCTCTCTAGGGCTTGTTTGGCAGACATAGGAGGAAATTCCAAAGGTCTCTATCCTCCCACCCCCCCCACCCCCAAGAGGCAACTGGACTTTCTGGTTTTTCTTTGAAGACGTTTCGCTTCTCATCCAAGAAGCTTCTCCAGTTCTGAAGTCCAGTTGCCTCTTGAAAAAGCACCTTCAGGACAACCATGACCGGAATGGCTGAGAATCTCCATAGGCACATAGGAGGAAAATATACTGGGCTGCAGTACCTAGGTAGAAAGGAACTAGAAATATCTAGGGAAAAGACGAAGAGGAGGTCTCCTTTAACCATGGTTAACTATGGTTGACTATGTAATTTAAGCCAAAATATGCAATGTATCGGAGCTGTCTGTTCATTGCTGGGGAGATGTTGGGAGAAAAGGCATTTGTCCAAGCTGCCACCAGAAATCAAACCCAGTTTGATGACATCTAATTAAACTATACCAATTCTTCACAATCTGGTATCTGTCAAACGCTTTGGACTTCAACTTCCATCCATGCCAATAGATTCAAGGACTATGGGGGATGTAGTCGAAGACATCGGTAGGTAACCAAAGATCAGAGAAAGGGCTGGTAGTCTTTGCCTCTCTTTGTTTTGTTTTGTTTTTTATTTAATTATTTTTTGTTTTTTATTATTATTATTATTATTATTTATTTTTATTTTTTATTTGTAATGGCCTTGATTGTATCATTGGATGAAAGGGCTGCTATTAAACTTGTTAAAATGACATCGTTAATAACTTTCTCCTCTGTCCTTGCTGTTCCCAGCCTGATGCAAACACTTTTATTCCTAAAGAATGACTTCAGCTAAAATAAAGTAAATTTTGTGTTTATTGGCTGCCTGATGGACATTAATTTAGCAGATTTTTTTTCCACGGTCATACATATGCCCTCAGTTTCTGAACATGATGAACTTTGTCAGGACCTAAAATTCTGCCAAAGAGAGAACATGAACTGGAAAACGTCTATATCTGCAGGGAATAAATGCATTTTAGGGGGTGTGATGGCTCAGAGATTAAAGATGCTGGGTTTGTCAGATGAAAAGCTGACAGCCCAGGTTTGAGACCCAATGGCGCATGACAGGGTGAGTGCCTGTTACTTGCCTCTGCTCCTACCCACCTAGCAGTTTGAAAGCATGCAAATGTCAGTAGATACATAGGCATCACTTTGGAGGGAAGGTAACAGTATTTTGTGCATCTTGGTGTATAGTCATGCTGGCCACATGGCCACAGAAATGTCTTTGGACAACGCTGGCTTCCTCGGCTAAGAAACAGAGATGAGCACTGCTCCTTAGAATTGGACATGACTTGACAGAGGAAATTTACCTTTAAATTCATTTTAAATGAGGAGGAGGAGCCTTGGTAGTACAGTGATCTAAAGCACCCTGTTATTAAGACCGGCTGCCTGCAATTACTGCAGGTTCGAATCTCGCCAGGCTCAATGTTGACTCAGCCTTCCATCCTTTCTAAGATAGGTAAATTGAGGACCCAGTTGTGGGGGCAATAAGCTGACTTTGTATAAATATACAAAAGGATGAAGCAATGTGCTATTGCTTAGCACATTGTAAGCCATCCTGAGTCTCCGGAGAAGGGCGGCATATAAATCAAATAAAAAAAAAAATTAAAAAAAATGTTGACTAGGTTTATTGAATGTGTTTTCCAATTATAAAATGGATCTTATAACTATTATTCCGGCATGTCGGATTAGGTAAAGTTGGGGGAGGGGCTCATCTTTTGATCCAACCTGTTAAAGAGCTTAGATGGCACAGTGGTTAGTGTGCAGTACTGCAGACTACTTCAGCAGTTAGGTAGTTCGAATCTCACCAGGCTCAAGGTTGACTCAGCCTTCCCTCCTTCTGAGGCGTGTAAAATGAGGACCCAGATTGTTGGGGGAGATATGCTGACTCTGTAAACCACTTAGAGAGGGCTGAAAAGCACTATGAAGCGGTATATAAGTCTACGTGCTATTGCTATTGCTAATCAAGGTTGCAAATCTATTATGCTAAATACAAGGGCTACCCTGAGGAAGGCATTCTAGTCTGCCTGAAGATTTTCTAAGTTTTATAGAAAGTGAGGACTGAACTGCATTCTCTGCCAGAACATCCCTCCTACAGAGCCAGGAAAGAAGAACAGCATTCTCATTATTAAGATTAACATTATTAACAAAGCTTGTGAAAACCTGGCGTGGGTGTTTCGAGACCATGGTGACTGTTAAATGTGTACCTAAATTGGGTGTGGGTGCTGCTTATTGTGTCCCTATAATTACCATGGGGTTTTATGGACATATTTTGTGTATGTTGTTGATAATTATGTGGTGTTTTAGTATGGATTTCATTACTGTAAGCCACTAAGGTGCATTTTTAAGACTTGAAATGGCAGAAAAGCACCTCGAATGCTGCCACCAGAGTTGGACTGCAAAACTCCAATGGCCACTAGATGGCAGCAAAGATTTGTTTGTATTTTTATAAACTGGTCTTACAAGATATGTAAGCCTTAAACAAATAAAAGCATTAAAAGCAATAACACAACTTACAATGCACTTGTATAACATATATACAGTATACCAAGAAACACAGGTCACATCAACCCAACAGAAACTCTAAAAATAAGAAGGGTAACAGTAACAGAGTGGGAAGGTATCCAAGAGATCATCTAGTCCAACCCCTTGCTCACGCAGAAGACCTATACTAGGGATTTGAACCGCCGAACTACAGACCTTTCTGATCGACAAGCTCAGTGTCTTAGCCACCGAGCATCCAAGCTCCGTGGCCTGCTGGAAAAGCCATATTTTCTGTATGTTCCTGAATCTCAGTAGGGTTCGGGACATTTGAACCCTCAGGGAAATATTGAAGGCAGCCATTGAAAAGCCCTCCCCCCGCCTCCATCACTATTCTCTGTTGAAGAACTGAAGCCTGACAGAAATGAGATGGAGTGGGGCTTTCCTACATTTTATTGGCTGGGCAGATGCAGTTGGGAATCTGGTCCCAAAGAGACCCAGGCTCTGAGCCATATAAAGCTTTATGAGTATTACAGAATTTTCTGTTCTCTTCACTGACATCTGCAATAGTTACCTACTAGACTTTTGCAACCCAGATCCGACTGCCTTACACAAAGATGAGAAACTTCCCCATTGTCTGCTTAAGATGTGGCATTGAAAGTTCAGATTCTTCTTGTGTTTTGGTTGTCTTTCAGTCCAACACACAGCAAGAAGGAAGGCACTCTCATCTCACTGTGTGTTCACTCCAGAGGAAAAGGTCTCAATATAGAGCCATATGTAATGTTTGTAAAGTAGTAGTGTTGTGGATTTAATAAGACAAACACAACTTTTAGATTAATCAGAGACAGATTTTTATATATTGCGCAATAGGTTCAAGGCTCTGTACATGAAGCGTTGAACAAAGACAGGAATTAGGTACAATGGTTTTATACCCTTCTAGACAAAGGATTCAGCAGTTCATATGGTCCTATACATTTATCAATTTTAGTTGACATTACAGAGTTTCTTTGCAAAACAGTCATAATTCTTTTTGTAGATTACTGAAGCATATCTTTTATCTTTTGACGATGGACAACTTTTAACTCATGTGGATCCCCTTGACCTAACCAACCTTTAAGCTGTATGTCATTAGAATGTTCCTTTCTTCTGACAACTTAGAGGCCTCCTAGAGGAACCAAAAGGACCTTGGCTGAGTTTGTACTCTTTCCAGCCGGATGCATTGCTTTTTAGAATAGAGTGAATAGAAAGTTATCCAGTGGTCATCCATCAGAGCCCGCTTCATTACATTAGTAGAAGAACAACTATTTTTTTTGGCCATGAAATGTTCAGTGCTAATAGGATTGTTGAAGAAAACCAGGATGAGCTTCAGGTTGTACAGTATTATTTGTAACTGTTATATTTCCTCCTTGCCTTGCTGACCTATTAGGAATTCTATTGCTCCAATGATTTGTCTTCACAGCTAGGAAGGAAGGGGAAAATCCAACTTGCATTTTAATGTTGCTTTTCTTTCTCTCAAAGGCTAAAACTCTCTTAAAGTCTGTCATCTGCACCTCTAAACTGTCTGGTTTGGTTCTGCAACCCAACAAGGCAGACACAGACTTCAGAGGATAATTAGAACTGTAGAAAAAACAATTACTACCAGCCTGCCTTCCATTGAGGACCTGTATACTGCACGAGTCAAAACAAAGGGCTGTGAAAATATTTACAGACCCCTCGCATCCCGGACATAAACTGTTTCAACTCCTACCCTCAAAACAAAACTATAGAGCACTACACAACAGAACAACTAGATGCTATATTCAAAACAAATATGGGATTAAAAGGTTTCAAATATTTTATGAATGAATAAAGAGACTTTAGAAAGTATTTAAATTTAGTCATGTAAAAGGGGAGTTAAAAGTACAAGAGGGAGATAGGAGTCTATAGATAGTTAGCATATGTTAGTATATGGTTGTTAAATGCTATACCCTGTATTTTGCTCTGGGAAGTCGGGGGGGGGGAAGTTGGGGAGGGAGGTGGGAGGTGGGATGGGAAAACATTTGTAAAATTCTTTAAAACTTTTTAATAAAAAAAAAACCCAGAACAACTAGATGCAAGAACTGTTTTTTCCCGAATGCCATCACTCTGCTAAACAAATAATTCCCTCAACACTGTCAACTATTTACTAAGTCTGCACTACTATTAATCTCTCATCGTTCCTATCACCCATCTCCTTCCACCTATGACTGTAACCTTGTTGGTATC